ACACCGATCAGCCCTAACATTGAAACCACCTCCTTGTTTCTACACTCATTGTCCATTTTATCAGCCCCACTTACCCCATAGAAGCACTTTGTAGTTGTACAATTGCAGACTGTAGTCCATCTGTTTCTCAGCATACTTTGTTAGCCCCCCACAGAGCAGGAATTATTTGGGTGGCGTATCATTCTCAGTACAACAGTGATCCTGACGCGGTGGTGGTGTGTTAGTGTGTGTTGTGCTGGTATGAGTGAATCAGACACAGCAGTGCTGCTGGAGTTTTTAAACACCTCAGTGTCACTGCTGGACTGAAAGTCCACCAAGCAACAATTTCCAGCCAAAAGGATCCTGTGGGGAGCGTCCTGTGACCACTGATGAAGGACTAGACACTAGTTCTTTAGCAGTGGTGCCAGGACGCTGGACTAGAGGGTGACCAACACAAACTGTGCAGCAACAGAAGAGCTACTATCTCTGATTTAACTTCAACAAGGTGGACCAACAAGGTTTGTGTGTCTGATAGAGTGGACAGTGAGTGGACACATTGTTCAAAATTCCTGCAGCACTACTCTGTCTGATCCACTCGTACCAGCGCAACACACACTAACACACAACCACCAAGTCAGTATTACTGCAGTGCTGAGAATGATACACCGCCCAAATAATACCTGCTCTATTGTGGTCCTGTGGGGGTCCTGACCATTGAAGAACAGGGCAAAAGGCAGCTAACAAAGTATGCAGAGAAAGAGATGGACTACTGTAATTGTAGAACTACACCTGTGGAGCTGATAAAATGTACAATACAATTAGGTGGTTTTAATATTATGGCTGACCAATGTATGTGGATAGACCAGTGACCCTTATTCATTGTATAACAGTCTCAATAGAAATTTTAATATACACTCATTTAAGTCCACTTACAGTCAGATCCCTTAACATTTGCTTGCTGACTAAGTTATTGTTTTGTCTACCACAGCACACTGGAGTTGAAATTAAATAATGAATGTGAGCTCAACGTGCAGACTTTCAGTTTTAATTTAGTTTTAATGTGATGGTACTTACATCCAAATTGGGTGAACAGTGAATGAATTACAACCATTTTTATACATAGTTTCTATTCTGTTTTAGGGGCTCATATGTAATTGGACAATGGAATGATTTGTGGCATTTGCAGTTGGCATCTGTTGAAATGAACTAATCCAGAGGTCTGTTGCTGCCAGTGAAGCAAACTGTCACACATACACACACACACATCTTCTAAGCCGCTTATCCCTCTGGGTCAGGGGAGGAGCTGGAGCCTATCCCAGCAGTAGCAAACTATCATTGGGGTGGAAATTAAAAATAAACCCATCAGAGAGATATGAAAAGCGTAAGTTGTGGCCAAGTCAGCTATTTGGTACTTTCTTGAAAAGAAAGAGTTCACCACTGAGTTCAGAAACACAAAAAGGCCCACAAGACCACAGTAAACATCTGTGTATCTGTGTCAAAGTCAACAATCAAGAGACGACTTCACCAGAGTAAATAGAGAGGGTTTACCACAAGATGTAAACCAATGGTAACCTCAAAAACAGGAAGCCTAGATTAGAGTTAACACAGCAAAAACAGTATGTACAGTTCTGAAACAACATCTAATGCACAGATGATACAAAGACCTTCTACCAGAATGATGGAGGGAAGGAACTACTCATGATCCAAAGTATACCACCTCATCTGTCAAGCGTGGTGGAGGTAGTGTTATGGCATGTATGGCTTCCAATGGAACGGAATGTTTTAAGGCAAAGAAGTGGAATGTTCTGGATTGGCCAAGTCAATCACCTGACCTCAATCCAAATGAGTATGCATTTCTTGTACTGAAGGCAAGGCTGAAAGTAAAACATCCCAAGACACAAACAGGTCTGACGAAACAGGTGCAGCAAATGTGTGGCAAGGCATTACCAGTAAAGAAACTTGGTGTCTGGTGAAGGATTTGCAATCATGTTTTAAAAATTACTTTTTATTTCTCGATTATGTTTGTTTAACGAATTTTGAGCCTCTAAAAATGTGTGTGCTTTGGAGGTGTGTGTGTGGGGGGGGTCTATATATAAATATGGCTGTAATTCTGACACTATTTACCTGATTTGGATGTAAGTGCCCTTAAATAAAACTTTTAAAAGCTCATTTAAACACTCATTCATTAATTTAATCTCCAGTTTGCTGTGGTAGACAGATAAAATAACAATACTGTTGTCAACATCCAAATATTTAAGGACTTGGCAGCACGCTTTGGATCATGAACAGTTCCTTTCCTCCTCCATACTCCTCTTTTCTATCAGTCTGGTACAAGTTGATCTATGTCTCATCTATCTAAGTGCTGTACCAGAACTGTACAGGCTTTTTAAATGTTTTTTGGCAAACACTTTATCTGGGCTTCCTGTTTTTGAGGCTTAGCAAAGGTTTGCATCTTGTGGTAATCGCTCTGTATTTACTCTGGTAAAGTCTTCTTTAGATTGTTGACTTTGGCATAGACACAGCTACCTCCTGAAGGGTGTTCTTGATCTAAATCTTTCCATTTAAAATGTACCAAATAGTTGATTTGGCCACACCTAATGTGTGTTTTTCCGATCTAATGAGTTTGTTTTGATTTTTTTAGCCAAATGATGGCGTGCTTTACTGGCAGCAACAGTTCTTTAGACTTCTAACTATTAAGAGTAAACTGCAATAGATTCCAAGTGCAAATGTGACACTAAAATCAACTCTAGACAGTTTATCTGCTTACAAATAGCACATACATGGAAATGACACAGCTAAGCAGTCAATAGTCCAGTTACTTTGTAAGTCCCTAAAAATGAGGGGGTTACATGTTTGAAAATGATTTGTACACCATTCACCTGATTTGGACATAAAGTCTGCACTTTGAGCTTGTATTCATTATTTAATTTCAACTCCAATATGTGGTAAACAGCTAAAATAACAATAAATTTGTCAGCGTCCAGACATTTATGGACCTGACTGTGAGTGGACCTGGTAAAATGGACAACGATTATAGATACGTGGTACCTAATAAAGTGGCTGGTGTACATTGTGTAGATTGAGTCTGATGGTTTCCAGATCAAACTGATTTCATTTTTAGTTGGCCTGTTAAAGACCTTGTTCTAATTGTTTAACTTGTATTATTTACTGTTACATTCACATGATGACTTTTTCTTTTTAATTAAGATATGCACCAAGCCACCGTGATTGCATGGATCAATGAAGAAATATGATTCTCAGAAGAAAGAGTGTGATTGCGATCAAATACAATCACGCTAATACTGATTTCCAAGAATTTCAGATGTTAACAGATGTTCCTAGAACAGGGAGACATTTCTGTGAAATGTTGTCTTTAACAGATACAGAGATAACCTTAGGCAAGAGATGTCTGTGGTGCAGCAGATCTTTCATGGTCTCTTACTGGATAATGGCTCAAACTTCTTTGCAACGCCTCAACTCTTGTACAACTAGGATTTCAACGGCTTAACTGAGCTGTTGTGAAAATAATCTACGGTCTCTCCTCTCAGCTTCGCACCTCTTTCTAAATGTGAAACAATGTAAACAAAGTTTATTTATTACAGCGCCATTCCAGTCACAGTGTTTCATGTTATATTTACTATAGTTGCCTTTTATTCTTGCACACTTGCACATCATTGCCACCTGGTGGCAACTATTCGAGAAGCACTGTACAGGTCAGGGTTTCCCAAATCCAATCCTGTATCCACCTGCACTTAAAGCCCCAGTCAGGAAATACTGCAACTTGATGGTCATTCCTGAGCACTGCAGCAGAGGCTTTCCAATAGTGACAAGTGACCCAATAAAATCTGAATCCACTATTTAAACCAATATGTTTGTTTTAATGGACAGTTTTCTGGGTTCAAGACTTTGATACAACTGTGCTTCTGCTTTTCATGCAACAATACACATAATTTAGGCCAAATTATAGCTTATTTAGAAACACTGAAATTTTAGGTAGACAGTTTACACATGCAATACCACCATTTCTTTCATGGTACATGTGGACAGTGTTATGATGACTTAAAGGGGAATTCCACTGATTTTTTTTCTTCTCAAAAATTCCACATAATTAAATCAATAGGATGTAAAAAAAAAAAGTAATTCAGAGTGGTTTGATATAAAATGTGCCGTTCTAGAGGAACTTATCAAGTCAGAACATTTAATAGTTACAGATATGTTGTCTGGTGCAGCATTGTTTTACTATGGTTTTAAGATACGATTTTGAAGATTTTGAACTTTAAAAAAAAATACGTTCATGGCAGAAAGGCAAATGCAGGGGGAAACAGATTTGCCATAAGTTAGGTTTTATATAAAAATTAATAATTTTTCATTAGTAGATCTACTGGTCGGTTTGGATAGCAAATAAAATGGCTATTGTACTGACATTGTAAATGTCGTGACCTCTGGTTCCTATCACTACCATTGTAAAAAAAATCTGAGTTCGCTAAGTTTCTCTACAAATACTATTTCACACGAAATGACTTTGTTTACATCTCGTTAGAATTATTTGGAAATTCTGGAAAATTGTTGGAGTCTGTCTTTTAAGTGGACTTAGTATATAGTAAATACATAGATAATTAAACAAAACAAAGCAAGGGCAGCTACGTTTTTACAGCATATAGTATAAAATATACAAATATGTACAAATCATATATAAATGTGTAAAATTCATTCACTAGCATGAGAAAGTCCAAACATGTTCTATCATTTGTAAGTAATTTATGAGACACCATTCGGATATTAAACCGCTTATAACTAAAATTAAACCTCTCTTTCCAAACAGCTTTTGATGGGCTAAAGAATGACTTATGTGAACTCGTATAGGAACTTTGGGAGTAAACTTTAAAATACGCTAAACAGATAAACTTTTTTTTCACGTGCAATAATTTGACAACTATAGATCATTTTGTCAGAGGGGGCGGATACGTTGTTTGTATATTTTTCTGATTAATGATCTCATTCAGACCTGCGCCCTGGAACATTCTACGCATGCGCTCTGCTCAGGCGTGCTCCTCCAGCGGGGAACTTGTCGGCGAGGGGGGAAATTTTGCAAGTCATGGTGGGCCATCCAAGACGAGCGGGCTATGACAACATTAGGGAAATCTACGGACAAGAAGTTGCTTTTTGCGGAAGTGATTAAGGAATGCTCTTAATGTGTAACATCCAGGCGCTGACATCTTTGTATCAGTAATCTCTTCAAGTAAGTATGAAAACAGGCTTACAGCCGGATCAGTTAGCCGGTTAGCCTCACAGACAGACAGACAGCGGGCAGCTGAGCGGCTAAGCTAGCTAGTTGTCAAAAAGCAAGCGTGTTGTTCACCCCAAAAGTAGTGTTATACGTCCATTTAACAGTTTTGTCAGTATTAGAATTAAAGTGTTTTCAGTGGGCACGTGCCTATGTCCACCTAATTAACACACAAATGTTTACGGTAGTTTAAGTTGTTTTCATTTGTGGAGCGGCCCCGGTAGTGTCCCTTTATTAAAGCCCGCCTCCGGAGCGCTCCCATTGGCTCAGAGATGTGGCAGGAGCTGGTGTGATTCCTGTGATTGGTTGGTGAAAACCTCCTGAACCAATCAGTCACCGCTGCGCCACTTGTTGCTAACGTCGTTGCCGAGCGCTCATAGCGGAAGTGTTGGAGAGCGCTTCCTGGACGTTGGGCAAAATAAATCGTGCCGTGTGATTTTTTGGAAAGAGTGAAGAGGCTTGTAGGTAGCGGCCACTGGGCGGAAAACGAGCTCTGACTTGTTCTTTGTTCATACTGTACGTGGAAAAGTCGTACGTATGTTGTTCTGGTTGCTTGTTCTGGGTGGGATGCTGGTGGGTGTGATGATGGTAGAACCGTTAACGCCGCTCTGGTGCTCAGCAGCCTTTATAACTTACACTAGTATTCAATATACATTCATTCTGTACTGCCTCTGACAGAAACTCAGTGTAATAGAGCTTTTGCTGATGTTTGGTTGTTTCTTTTGTTGTTGTTTTCACCCTGTGCAGGTTGGAAAAGCTTTCAGAGACTGAAAACTAAATGGTGGATCCAGGTGTCTGCTTCACAGAGTAGACATTCGCCGCCGAGGGCATAGGAACCGTCATTCATTTTCCTGTTGATTTTTTTTTGTTGCCTATGTGTAACAGGCCAATGTCTGTGTAAACACAGAAGATAATCTTTTTTATGTGTCTTCTTTACATTTTTATTCCTCTTATGGATTATACAAAACACTGACTGCAAGTGTTCCAGCCTTACCCTTGTTTGTGTTAGATTTTTGTTTTTGTTTTTTGTTTTCATTTTTATTTCCTTTGCAAAGAAATGCTTTACCTGAAAAAGTACTTCACAGAGGGTCTGATTCAGTTCACTATCCTCCTGAGTCTCATTGGGGTGCGGGTGGACGTGGACACCTACTTAAGCAATCAGCTTCCCCCGCTCCGTGAAATTATCCTGGGCCCTAGCTCAGCCTACACCCAGACGCAGTTCCACAACCTCCGCAACACCCTGGACGGCTATGGCATCCATCCAAAAAGTGTGGACCTGGACCACTTTTTTGCCATTCGTCAGCTGCTGAACCAGGTGCACTCTCTAGATCACCTGCGCGTGCCCAGTACTGAGCTGAGCGCTTGGCTGGTGCACCGTGACCCGGAGACTGTGGTGTCTGCAACCAGCCAGTCCGGTCCCAGCATTGCCCTGGACAATGGGGGTAGTCTGGAGGATGTGAACAACCCTGAAGCCTCGGCCATGAGAGGGGCCGGCAGTGCTTCTGAGTCGACCTACAGCCTTAGTGGAGAGGACAGTTTGGGTGCAGTGGCACCTGAGAACAGCCAGGAGCAAGCAGACAGAGAGGAAAGTGATGATCTTTCTAAAGAGGTATAGTATTTATTAATTAATGTTTTTCTATGACTGTAGTTGTCATGATACTTGTCAGGTCTCCTCCTTACTAATACTATCACATGTATCACACTAACACAGATGAGTCACTTCAGTACCCTAAACTAAATCTTGCTCACAATGGCTTGAAAGGGTGTGGCCTACTGTTGTCTCCCACTGTGGGGGAGGTATGCTTATAGCTTTTTATATAGTGTATATAAATCTGTCTCAAGATTAAAGACGGTTCAAGAGTAGTGAGTAGTTTATGGTATAAATATGGATAGAATAGTGTAGAAGTATAGAATGTGTGTATGAAAACATTAGATAGAAACCCTGTATTATTGCTATGAGTAAACGTGCAAACTTTTCAGAAGCAGGTAGAACCTTTATACAGTTCTACCCCTATCACGGAACTCCCAAGGATTTATTGTTTATTTTTTAGCTAATGTAGCCAAGAAATCTGTATGTAATCATAGTTGCAACAGAGGGTCAAAAACCAGTGTTTGTTAGGTCACATTATCAAGAAATATATAATATCCACACAACAAACTAATGTAATAGCAACACAGATCATTTTAATGCCCAACTCTAGCTGTAATTTTTCATTTGGTTTGTCCTTCAGAAGAAGGTCACCTGCTTGCCCTATGACCTTACTATAGGGCTGAGAGGCCCTATAGGGAAAATCTATGGGCTGTAAAGAAGTTATGCATTTTCCCAAAACATTTTCTGTCATACAGTTGTCACTCTCAATGTAACTGGGTAATGAGCAATGATATAACGTCTTCTGGTGTCTGGCTGGGATTGACTTAGTTTCTCCTTTTGGTTGCTCAGTGTTGTGTTGTTAAGTCTGTCATGTATGTTTTCTTTAGGACATAGACCTTATAGATATCCTCTGGAGGCAGGATATTGACCTCGGGGCTGGACGGGAAGTGTTTAACTACAGTAGCAGACAGAAGGATGGTGAAGCAGATAAACCTAATGAGGAGCAGGAGGAGGCAAGTGTACGAGAGGACTGGAGAAATGGAATCAATCTGCAGGAGGGTCAGAGCTTGACTGTTGTGGATGGAGAGACTGGAGAGAGCATACCTGAGCAGGTAACAATCGCTGTGAGCCTAGTTGACCAGCACGCTAGCATTGATTGTAAACTTGTTAGACCATGGTGTTTCATGTTGTTGTTGTTGTTGTTGTTGTTATTATTATTATTATTATTATTATTATTTTAATTATTATTATTATTATCATTATTATTATTATTATTATTAATACTAGTAGTAGTAGTAGTTGTGGTAGTATTTTAGTCTTAGGCCTTTCTCACTGGTCCCCTGCATGAGCTACAACAAAAACATAAATAACAGTGGGCTGTGAGGGCTCATGTATGTCTAAATGTCTGCAGGCCTGAAATAAATGAGGTGAATTCTTGTAGTAATTACACTCAGCCTTGTGGTAAAAGTACTATGTTTACTATTAAATTGATATACTGTAATGCACGTGATGCACTGTGATATACAACATGTAGTGGTTTTAATGTTGTAGTAACAGCATTCAAGAAAACGATTCACTATTTAAAACAATTTAAATCTGATAGCTCTAACCACTTTAGGAGGTGGTCTGAGATGCATTTTAACCAGGTGTTATACAAGTGTATATGCCTCGGTCTCTCCAAGCCACATTCGATATCCAAAACCCTCCCAATATTGTGACCGGTTCTGCTTATGTGTAAAAATGCCCAGTTGACTGTGATCACTTAATGGAGACATTGCAGCTTTTTGTGTTCAGCTCTTGACATGAGTGTCTCCTGAGTTTAATTCAGTAGCCTTTAGTGGCCCGAGGTAGATAAAGTGCCAGTTTGGTTATTCTTTACTTCATCTTTGTCTTGTCACTGTTTTGCTACAATACATTACGTTTCTGGTAAACATTGCTGTAAAGCCTGCGTAAGAAAACAATTCTGGCATGAAAAATTATTTGTTTTTGAAAAGAACGAAAAACCGATGAATACCACTGACTGACTGATTGTTGTACATGAGCTGATTTGCATATAATGCACCACATGGCAATTGGATTTCAATCTGAGTAACTGGAGATGAATTTGACCACCAAGTGTAAATGCATGTAGTTAAAATCTCATTAAGGTATAATCCAGATATAAGTCATGGTCTACATGTTGGATGGAACCTGTTTAGCAGGGGGTCTGTTTATAAAATAGATCAGACAAAGAATTACTGAAAAGGGACATAAGCAATTCTGAGTATTTTCCCATTTTAATTTAAGATGATAGTTTATGTAGAAGTTAAGATTATTTGTGTGGTGTCATTGGCTTGTCTGCTGTAACTGTGCAGTTTGACCTTGTTAATGTGTTGACCTTTCTTATCTTTTTTAACCAGCTCTCCAGCCTTGGTGCACAGACCTCAATGTCCCTGCAAGAATGCCTGAGGCTTCTAGAGGCCACTTTCCCTTTTGGAGAGGAATCAGAGGTACCAGTTTCATTAGATTCAAAACCATTCTGGATTTTATCAGTCACATATCGTCAAGCTCAGCTGATTTTTCCAATGGTATTATCAGTGATGGCAGGACTTTCTTTCATGTCCTTTTTCTGAAAAAGTGATGTCCTAATTATTGTTGTCTACTCTGTCTATTTTTCATTAGTTCCAGGCTACAGATGCTGCCCCTCAGCTCAGAGGTTCAACTGAAGATGTTCCTTCAACATCTCAAAGGCTTCCATTGCCAGACCCCCTACCGCAATCTGACGTACCACTGGACCTGGAACAGCAATGGCAGGACATTATGGCTATCATGGAACTGCAGGTATGTACTTTTTTAAAAAATAAACTTAAGGTATAATTATTGTAATATATATATATATATATAATGTAATTATACCCAAACAGTCTCAAGTCATATCTGTCACCCCAATTTCAGGACATGGAGGTGAACAACACAGCAGAAAACAGCACTCTAAACAGCCAAAATAACACTGGTCCTAATACCACTGAATCAGGCACAATGTCAAATTTTGGTCTTTCGCGATCCAGTCTCATCAACCAGGACGTGAGCCTCCACCAGGCCTCCCTCCCAAGCTGTAGCCAGGACCTTCCCTCTCTTTTCAACCCAGAACTTGATCCCTCTGCGGGGCAGCGACCTGCACTGCTTAGGCTTGCCTCCAGCAATTCATCTAACGTCAACTCAACATTTGGAGTCACTAACCTTACCGGGCTCTTCCTGCCACCACTCCTCAACAGCACCAGTAACCTAACCTCCACCCCAGTGTTGCCTGATCCCTTTACCAGCCTGTTAGAGGAATCCATGCTGGATGAAATTAGCCTGCTAGACCTTGCCATGGAAGAAGGGTTTAGCCAGGCCCAAGCCTCTCAGCTGGAACATGAGCTCGATTCAGACTCTGGTCTCTCTTTGGACTCTGGACACAGTCCGGTCTCTCCCAGCAACTCAGAGACATCCTGTTCCTCAGCTGCCTCGACCTCCTCCACTTCTGCCACTTTCTCAGAGGAAGGGGCAGTTGGATACAGTACAGATTCAGAAGCGGCCACAGCTGAAGCAGAGGAGGGAGCTGTCGGAGGCTACCAGCCAGAGTACAGCAAGCTGTGTCGCATGAGCTACCAAGATCCCTCTCATTTCCATGGCTTACCACAGATGGAGAGCATTAATCACAACCACACCTACAATCTACCACTGGCATCATCATCATCATACCCTGAGCATTCTCAGTTGCTGGGATCCTGCAGTAAAAAGGGCAGAGACAAGCAACTGCAGCAAACAAAACTGCAGCCACCACGGGATTTCATCGACAAGCAGTCTAGTCGTGATGAACGTCGGGCCAGGGCTATGAAGATCCCCTTTTCCAATGAAAAAATTGTTAACCTTCCTGTTGAGGAGTTCAACGAGCTCCTGTCGAAGCACCATCTCAGTGAGGCCCAACTTTCCCTTATTCGTGATATCCGCAGGCGTGGGAAAAACAAAATGGCTGCACAGAACTGTCGCAAACGCAAGCTGGATACCATCATCAACCTCGAAAAAGGTGTGCAGGATCTGCGGCGTGACAAGGCACGGCTGCTTAAGGAGAAGGTGGAGTACCTGCGCTGTATCAGACAGATGAAGCAGAAGGTGGAGAGCCTTTCTCAGGAAGTATTGAGCCAGCTGCGTGACGAAGAAGGCAGACCTTACCCTGCTAGCGAGTATTCCCTGCAGTACGGTACTGACGGTAGTGTTCTCATCATGCCTCGCAGCATGACTACAGAGGAAGGCCGTAAGCCTGACAAGAAACAGAAGGACAAAAAGAAGTGAGAAGCTTGACCTGCTTTGTTCTTTTGTTGCAAAAGGCCCCACCACAAAAAAAAGATTTTTAAAAGGTGGAAGAAAAATGTCCTTTTTTCTTTGAGAAGATTCTAGCAAGGAAAAGAAAATTGCACTGTCGGTTACTATTCCTGCATTAGGTTTTCTTCCTTTTTCTTTCTTTGATTCAGACGTTTTCTCCAGAAAACAAATTTGAAGAAGTGCTTTTTAAGTACTGATTATTCATTGTTTTACTTGGAATACGAACAGAATAAACAAAGGATAGGATAGGGTGGATTGGTGGAATCTAAACAGAGTGAAAAAAGCAAACCGCTACTATGAAGGACACTGACAAATTATTAATAAAGTGAATAGATTGAGGAATCGACCTTAATTTCAGGCAGGGCCCCAGAAACAAAATGAGTGTGGGCTTGTTGAGAATCTTTAGCCTTGGCCTGTGGTGTCTGAGCATACCCTGATGGTAGTCCTGTGATAGTCCTCTGATGATGAAGAAGAGGGAATTTCTTTCTGAAGAAGAAAAGTGGAGAAGAGCTCGCAAGTTGGAACCTGAACGTTTGAAGTGTGGTAAAACCAAAGGCAAAAAGAAGCCAATACTAACCAAAGGTGGTGTTGTGCATTTCTCTTGTTCCTAATTCCATCAAGGTGGTTACTTGGTGTATCTAAACCAATGTATTTTCAATCACACATACAGGAAAAAAAAGCAACAAAAATTTTTCATTGGACAGTTAAATGAAACCCAACTTAGGTTTAACTGGATATTATGCCAATTGTCATGGAACTGGGAAAGTGGAACAGAGCAGTGAAGAAGTCTGGATTAATCCTTGAAGCCGGAACGAAAGTTGGAGGTACAGAGTATATACTGAGTAAGGATGCACACTGCATTACTAATAAATCAAATTCTGTGCTCTGCTCAATGCTGTAAATCATCTCTGTGGCTTGGCTGTAAGCTCTGTCTTTAACAGTCCTTCCTCCTCTGCAGGTTTGAGGGTGAGAATGCCCTCCTTGCAGGCTTTCATTGTTCCCCTCCCGAGTCCATAAACTTGAATAAGCTGCAGGGCATGTAGGCCTGAATTCTGTCGAGAGTGTTTCACTTACTTTTTAAACCACTGGGTAATGGCCATTCTGGGAAAAAAAATCTGTACAGAGTTAAGCTGAACTTAAGCTTCAGTCACCTGCTTTTTCATTTCTGACTCATTATTGGACTGCTGTGTTGCTAAAGCAACAGGAGCTAGCTTCAAATCATATTCTTTCTGTTGCAGTGGTTACTTCTGGAAGAATGATTTCTGTTTTTGGATGCTTTTTCTGTTTGATTATGATATGGACAATGAACAAGATACTCATACTCTGAAATCTAGAGATCTAGCAACAGGTTTAGTTCACATCATTTAGAGCACAGTTCTGTAGTAGCTGCGTCCAACAAGTTGACTGATGTCATGTAGATGTGTGAGGTGAATTATTGTCATTTTTTCATAAGCATTTTATTTTCTTTTTCATGTGTAACTCCCCCTGGTAAATAATTTTCTTCTGGACACTACCATCTTTTCCTGTTTAGAGGTGAATCGAAAGCTGCTTAGCATGTACCACTGTCAAACTGGATCATGCTCAAATGCAGCACAAAGAGATGCTTTCGAACTATCCAGGAGACTGGCGTACTTGTGAAATATAATCTCTGTAAAAGGGGAGTGCAAACTTCTGCACTAATAAGAATGCATAATCTCCATCAAATAGGTGCATCTTCATAATTCTCTCCTAATGTTTTCCATTGCTCACATTTTCACTGAGCACATATAGCCATGCGGCACTGTCTGGGTCTGGTTTGGTGCAAAGTGCAATATGCAAGGGGGGAAAAAAAAAGTCATTTTGTCTCAGAAATTGACAAGAAGGAGACAACCTTTAAGATTATTACTAGGTTTGGAGTAGATCAAATGGAAGAAAATGCATTATTTAAAAAAATAATGATGATCAGGCATGAAAATCATGCTTAAGATACTTAGGTGACAAATATGTACTTAAAATTCCTGGTCTTATGCTAACACTACTTGTTGTGATGCACTTTTTTATGTCTTGTTTGTTTTGTAAATATGTTTATGTTATTTGTGTTGATTTTAAGAATATTTTGTCTTTTTTGTTTTACCAGGCCTTATTAACCCTGCTTTGATTTTTTTTCTTGTTTAGTTTACTTTGAAAGATTTGCTGGCAATCTGGAATTATTCCTTTATTGATTTAATAAACTGTTTTCGTTTTAATTTTCAACAGTGACATGTTGTCTTGTGGTTATTATATTTGTGATGCAGTGTGCTGCATGGCAGACGTGTCCGAGACCACCCTCCATTTATTTCTTTTCCAGCCAAAACAGCCATGAACAAGTTATCCGTTCAAATTACACTGAAGCATCAACAACTATATCATATATCATATTTTTCTGTTCTTTTCTGGGACTTGCTTTCAGTTTTTAAAGAAATCTGTGAGGCTATTATTCCACTCCTACAAAGTTCCGTTGGAGAAGTTGTAATGTAATTGTTGTAATGTAATGCAATTGCAATGATGTTGAGGTCTGGTCTCTGGTGTGGTCAGTGTATTGTTCTGAGAACACCACCGACTTTGTTTTCCTTTCTCAGTAACACCTTCTTGAAAGCTACACATCCTTTCAGACCCGTAATGTTGTTGTTTTTTCACAGTGGAAAGATGGACAGAAACACTTGTGGATTTTTCAGATCTGGAGCTTGACTTTCTCTTCTCTCTCAAAGGTGAAAGCTTTAAGTACTTTTTATTTGAGAGTTTTTGTGGTAAACCGGATCTTACACGGTTGTTAGGAGTCCTATTTTCTCTATAGATTAAAAAAAAAAACTAAACAAAACATGGAACTCAAGTTTGGGAATCTACTGGTTTTACACTTACTTCCTTTGAGTTTCCCTTTTCTTATGCAAGTGAATGATCTAATGTATCTAATGTAAATACCTTCTGAAAAATGAATAACTTAATGGCTGTTTTGACTGGAAATGAAATACACAAAAGGATGGTCTTAACCCCTTAGTGTCTAAAGTCTGGAGGGACACAAGTTCCCAATGCTAGCCAAAAAACAATCCTAAGAATGCAAGTATGGGGACATTGCTTTTATACCTCTGAGTTGTCCAGTCAACCGAGAAGTCATGCTCCTTTAAAACCTAAGGCTCAGATATTTTATGAAAAGTCACAAGAAAGAAAAAGTTCTGTAAAATGGCATATCAACAAAGGGGTACGTTAAGAAGTGCTATATAACACCAATACATATGGATCATTTTCAGTGTAGAAAAAGAATCAGAACAACAATTACAGCAATCCTACTTTTATTGAACTAACAAAAAGTGGTAGTGGCTTTAAAAAAAGGAAAAGGAAAAAACATTCACTAGGTTACACAGTAATTACATGATTCAAAGAACTGGCACTTACACAACTAGGACATAATAAAGTAACTAAACATTTACCTCAAACTTAAACACTGATACTACTCTTTGCTATATGATACAGTAATAAACCAAGAATAAAAAAGTAACTCACCAAACTTGTAACTCGTAATGCGATGTCCAGATATATTTACAACGTTTTCCAGAAAAAAAGGTCTCATTCAATGGTAGCACCTATACTGTGAGCAGACCGACTGATGTGAAGCAATGTTTGCTGGTAAAAGTGAACATTCTAATAAAGATCGTTTCATACAAGCCATAAACCACTAGATAGGACTCCTGGTCAAGCTACAAGCCATTGTCCATGTACTTTTTATCCCCTTTCTAGATTCACTTGTGCATTTACTGACCTGCTTTTTGGCAAATGTAAAAAATTGTAATGTGTTTTTCATAATCTCAGTTAAGGCAGTAATGTATTTAAATCAGTTAAATGCACACAAAATCTGGGAACATGTTAAAATAAGCATTTTTGAAACTTGAGAAATGGTCAGGACTGTTACCTACACAGGGTCTAGAACACTCTGTGGAAAGCAAAGCAGTGAAGCACCAGCCCAGGACACATTTAATTACTTAATCTGCTCCACATATCAATATCCTTAATCAATGCTTGAGGATGCTAGTCTACTGAACACTTTCTACATTGGCAACACCATGACTGAAATGTATTTATTAGATACACCTAGTTGTATCTAAAGCCATTTGCTATTTTATCAGGTCTACCTCCAATATAGGTGCATTTGTAGGTATGCAAAACATTGTGTAAACTTGCTGACCACTTAATTACAAACACCTACCTTGTAGGTTCACAGTAAAAATCTATTGAATTTTTATCTATGCAGGATATTTAAAAAAAAAAAATCACAGCAATGCTGGGGTTCTTGATATGCTCGTACAAGTGCACAAAGGAACATTCTACTACCACGCTGGTATCTCTGCTGTGCTACAAACGATCCACCACCCAAATAATATCTTGTCAGCACTGGTGGTCCCATTGGTGAACAGAGTAGAGGGGACGTATGCACCAACAGATGGGTTACAATCAGTAATTGTAAAAAGGTGTACACAGTGATATTGGAATCATGTCAGCATTGGCAGATTTTTAAATACAAACAATCGACATTGGACAAATGTTTAGATTTGACTGATATTTCAAAATAATATTTGATGACAGTTATTGCGTTCGAGAAGATTATTCGATAAGTATTTTGAGGGGGCTTGGCTACTGTGTCATTTTTCTAAATGACTAAAATGTCATTTTTCATTTTACTACATTTATAAATTTACAGAACTAAATGTTATATTTCTCTGTAGTGTTACGCCTGAATCTAGACTGAATCTAGTCCCAGTTTCTTCATTATGAAATGTGTAAGTTTCAGTATCGGCAGATAAAGACATAAAAAAAATAATGGCACTGGTCCACAACTCCCATATCGATGCATCCCTAATTGTAAACCTACAAATGTACACATATACTGTAGGTATACCTGATAAAATGGCAGCTTGGTGTACCAGAGCCTGTGTAAATTACAGTTACTGTTGCGCTGTCACTTAAGGTGTTGGGACTGTCAGTGATGTTTCTTCGTAATCATACCAACCTCCTTTCACTGCCTTTTATTTCTGAAAATAAAACTGAGGTGTGCATTTCAATGACCACCCTTTACAGTAAGTACTCATCATAGCTCCTTGTTTGCCTAGTTTTTCTCGTCCTTTTTCTCCTCCTCATCAGTGGGGTAAGAATGCCAGGTGAGACGCTCCTCGTAGAAAGAAATTACCACTTGTGGGCACTTCACGTTTGCTTCCTTGGCTGGTACAAGATCTGCCTCATCAGAGTTCTTCCTGTGAAAGGAGAAGAGGAAAAGAAATCTACTAAAACTGACCAGCTGAGTGACACTGCACAGGGACTGAACTGAACTGAACACCTGAACTGAACCAGTTTAAAACCAGGCATCCAGTTCCATACACACCATTTCATCAGGAACATGAGTTCTCCGCTTGAGTCTGTAGCACCAATAATCCTCTCAGGATCCAACCCACGAGCAAAGCCTCTGAGTTTCTCAGGCTAAATTAGGGGAATTGCAAGTAGGACATGGTTTAGCTGAATTAGGCTCTGATTTTTTTTAGATAAGCTTCCTTTGATGAAAATGGGGAGATAAACTTTTCTGTACTTAATAATCCGTACCTCATCCTTGCGTTTTTTAGACTGGCTCTCCTTTCCATCTCCATCTGTGTCAGCCCGCCGCTTTCCACCAGATTCCTTGGCGCTTCTCTGGGACTGCAGGTATTCTGCAATTAGGTCTGGGCAGTCTAAGTTTTCTTCGGGTTCCCAGGTGTTGTCTTCACTGAAGATTAAGTCGTATAAAGCAGATGTCAACCATCACTATAAATTGCTACAACTGTGTCACAAAAAGTGCACTATGAATGGTTTATGGCAAATTTAGAGTGCTGACTCAATGTAACAATCTGCAGTGAGTCTGACTCATGCAGTACAATACTGTACGTGTACCCACTCCGAGAAGCCCTTCCATTTGAGGAGATACTCTATTCTTCCCTTGACGACACGTCGGTCCAGAACTTTCTCCACAACATACTCCTCCTCTTCTTCCTCCACCACCTCTTCCACTTTCTTTTTAGTTTGTTTCTTTCCACCTGTTGGCGGCTTGGGCTCTGTCTGAGAGGGAGGAGCTGTGAGCAGAGGAAGGGAAAAATCAAAACAATAATGTACATTGCCACAATTTTCTTCCTTTATAAATTGGCCACTAAAAGTCGCATTAAATGTATGCAGACTGATATGTACACATTACGTCAAAAGTATGTAGACATCTGGTCATCCGAAATTAAGGGTATTAATAGGGAGTCTGTCCCCCATCTTTACTGCACTAACAGCCTCTACACTTCTGTGAAGGCTTTAAACTAGATGTTGGAACATTGCTGTGAGGATTTGATTGCATTCAGTCACAAGAACATGCATGTGTTAGCAATGGGAGCACCTTAAATTAGATAAAATTCACTAATCAGAAGGGGTGTCAGGAGGGTTATGGAGATATAGTGTATGTGACATGCATTATCAACTGAAATAAAAATCATACCTTCTGTCACTGCAGGAGCTTCAACTGGGGGCTCTGATATTTGGCTCATATTCCTAAGATATTTTAACACCTGGAAACATACAAGAATACAGAACAGGTCAATGGTGGCAAACTCCAAAGTCCTGGAGAGCCACAGCAATACAGTATTTAAGGCTTTCATTGATTCATCTCATAAGTTGTACATAGCTATTAAGCTGTTCATGAAGTGGACAGGGTGCTAGAGTACTAAAGCAGAGAAAACCCTACAATTTGTGTCTAGCCTTCTGGTATCTGATTTTGACGCATCAGGTACGGGCCAGAGTTAAGACTCTAGATCAGTGGATATTTTTGGGGAAAATTCACACTTTTTGTTTGTTATTGAGCCTAACATTACTATTTATGAGGTTTTTGTTAGATTTTACTGAAGATTTCTAATATGGTTTTTAAACACTAATCTGAGCTTCAGTTTAGAGTATTCAGGTCTCTCCCCATTCAAGGAGAAAGGAACCTGGTCTTGTATGGCTGGAAATAACTGCCCGGCAGCGTTGCAAAGACCACCAAGTAAACAGACTTTCTTATGAGCACTTTAGTGATACTTCACTGTGTAAGATTTTGGAGGATTTGGAGACATCTCTGGTGGAAAATGTAATTGCACTCAACATGCAGAAGAACATAAACGTCCCCTTTAAACCCCTTCTTTGAGTGGATCAATCTGATTGTGAGCACATTGAAAGAGTACTCAATGAAAACTCAGTCAAACCTTAATGAAGGACTTCTGAGGATAAAAGTGAATTATGTAATATTGGGAACATATCTTCATCAGTAAAATGCTGATTTTGAATTTGAGACTTAAATATCCAGTTGGACCTTCTGTGAGTGTTGATGTTAGTATGTAAAGATATGTATGACATGGTCCAAAACACTAATGTGAAATCTGACCAAACACTTCTGACTTTTAAATGATTATTTCAGGCTTTGGCATGTTTTTTTTTCTCCTGACCCTTCTTCTGACTTCTTAAAATTTTAACAAAAAAGTGTCGCTTAAAGTAATAATTTTGAGAAAATGTCATTGATTCAAGATATCAGGCAAACTTTTGGAAAAAAAATTTATATTTCTAAATATTACGTCAATATTTTGACATACCGCTGCTAGAAGAAGCAGGGGAAAAAACACAGATTTTTTCATCCTTCACCTGGCCAGAACTGGGCTTCCATAGGACCCACTGCTTTGACCAGTGTCAATTATTCCCGTCCCAGCACACCTGATAATCCAGCTCATCAGATAATTCTGAAGCTCTTAATAAGATGAATCAGGTGTGTTGGGGCAGAGAATACCTCACACTCTGCAGGGCAGTGAGTCCCCAGGGCTGGAACTGAAAACCACTGATATACAGTCTTTAAAAAGATGCTTCTTCAAGGGTTCTTTAGTAATAAAGGGAATGGTTCTAGAACCATGAGTTCTGTATAGAACCATCCATGCTTAAATGGTTTTTTGCATGGTGAAATACCCTGATAGCAAGAGGACAGTGGTCCACTGTCGGCCCGCTAATGGCAAAGCTGGTGGTCCACTGGCGTTTTGTTCAGTGTTTTCCGGGTGGTCCACTGGCGGTTAAGCGCAGTATTACACACTTATCACTCATCATCGCTCATTTTCCACTTACAGTCCAATTTACTGATTCTTCCTTTCTTTAGTTACACTTTGTAAATTAGATTAGTAAATAATTTTAATTTAGCACAGCTTTAGCAACAACATTTTCTAGAATCATTTTATAATATAATCATTTTTTTTCTTTTGGTTGTTTGTAAAATTTGCGTAAGTTTACTTTCTAAAATAAAAGTCTCTGTGATTTAAAATCTGAGGAGATTAAAAACTAGTTAGAGCTTGTATGCAGAGCAATAATCTGGGCGGTCCGAGGGTAGACCAGCAGTGGCAAATGGTCAGTGGGGTGCCGACCTTTTCACACCAGTGGACTGATATATGCTTGCTGTCTGGGTAGTTCTTCATATTGATGTATGGAACCTTTTTGAAAAGGGTTCTATAGAAGAACCTGTTTTGGTGCTATGTTTTTACAACTTGACATCATAACAGTTGCAGAACCCATTTCAGAACCCATACAGCACATTCTCCATCAATCTGAAAAAAAAATATATATATATATATATATATATATATATATAAATTTTACAGAACCATTTCAGCATAAAATGGTTCTATATAAAACTCATGGTTCTATATAGAACCATTCCCTTTACTAAAGAACCACTGAAGAACCATCTTTGTTAAAATGACCACCAAGCCTGCTCCTGGACATGTGTGATCTTCAGCTCCCAGACAAATCGGACACATCTAATCCAAATAAACTGGCTAAGCTGAGGGGAAAACAGTGCTGAGAGATGGAAGTGAAGATGGCCTGATTAGGATCTTTCAGGGCTGAAAAAGAAGTGCATGCGATCTCAAAACTGCCATGTTTTCATTAACTTCTTGTGTGTAAATTCTGGAATGCACATCTGGAAGCTCGCTATACGGCACATGCAAGGAAATATATAAATAAATAAAATGAATAACAAGAAACCGTTTCGCAGAAAATGGGTATGAAAGCGTGTTAGCGTTTGCTTTAATTACCGACGTGGGCCTGTTTTGCGTGTTATAAATAAGATGGATGAGAGGAACAAAACGGGGTACTTTTTTCGCTGGAATTCAATGCATCTTCCGCCATGTTGCTTTTCTTCCACAATGTACTGTTGTTTAAATCTCGTGGTGAATGAACAGTGTGTGTTTGGCATGCAGGAGTCACACGGTGCAGGTTACATACACAGGCTCCATAGACGAGCAATGTAAAAACCAGCAGCTACATGGAGACGCACATCAGCAGCAGCAGCAGCAGGACGCAGATAAAAAAAACAAACAGCACAAACAGCACTTACGTGTAGCTAGCTCGCGTGTAAAAAGATGCTGCAGCGAAACGTAATGGCATGTACTTAAATCCAGCTTCAATGCACAGCTGTAACTGACCGCGAATGGCTCGACTGGGGTAAAAGCTGAGTTTTGGGGGTTACAATGTGGATCAATTACAGCGGCAACAACATGGTAGGCTAGCTGGGCTTCTGCGGCTCAGCGCAGGCGTTCTGTGGCTCTGCCTTCAAAAACAGGAGCTCCATTAGTCTGCAGCTCTACCGCCAGCCTGACATGGAACAACTATACAGTATATGTGCACAATCACGTTTTCGTGTACTTTGCTTATGTTCTCTTCACACTGGAGAACAGAAAACACTTTTGTCATTGAAAAACGTGCATTGATTTTTTTCCCCGCTCCATTCCGTTAGATGGCAGCAGTGAGCTTTAGATGGACTCAGACCAACGGGCGACTAACCGCAGAAGTTAGCCTGCTGTTTGTTTACTCTTTAGGTACCGAATTTCATCCTCATACAGAAGCTACCTCTTTGCTCAAGGTCATGAAAACTTTAACGTCAACCCGCCGTTATCAGTCCGACAATTGAATATATTGTCGCAGCAAATGACCCTGAAGTCTTTCTGAATAATAAAAAACCGCACGTAAGTACTTTAGTTTCGGCTGCTTGCTTTGAGCGGGGCGCTCGACTAGCTGTAAAAGTTCATATAAGTTAGTTAACCTAACCTACTCTTAACTTATAGACGACCTCATGTTGTGTTGTGCATAATAATACGCTCTGAAGCTGCTTATTCGTATGAATATGGTGTGGAGCTGGTAAATCGCACAAGCCTGCATGCTTGTTGTTGACGTTAGCTAGGTTGAATGTATAGGCTTTAGAAGTTGCATAAGTCTGATGGCTATGTTGAGCAATCAGTGGCCGTGGAAGGCGAGCACGTAGAGATGCCGAGAGGCACGTAGATGTCAATACAGATTGACTACAATCACAGATTAGGTGCTGAACAATGGCATTTCAAAACTTACCGCAAACTGTTAAAGAGTTTAGAAGTGCCGTGTAGGAGTATTTCATCTAACAGAGGTGAGTACTGACTGGTTACACGGGATTGGTTTATACTTGGCCGAGCTTCCTGAATATTTTTAAATGCTAGTATTTTACTTTTACTCAAGTATATCAGCAAGTAAAGTAATCTACGTTTTATTAGGTTATGGTCATTTTGAGTTCCCAATTATTTTTGTGTTTAATTTTATTGTTATGTTGGTGACAGCATCTCTTCTGCTTCTGCCCAGACCTCCGACCTTTGAGCTCTATCATTTTATTTTAGTTCAAAACTTAGTTGAAGACACACCACAGTGCCTGTGCTGATTAATCCTGGATGTACTAAGAAGTTCTGCTACAGTTCTACAAGTTATTCATTCTTGAGTAGTTTTTTCTTTGATACTTTTGCAGAGTACTGAAGTTAGGGCTTGTCAATACATTTGACAATATATATTGTTATCATGATAAATTATGTTTGCATTGCATATAATCACTTGTAGAACACTAACCAGTTGCATGTTTGATTATGAAGAAAGCAAAATTAGTCCCGTTTGACTGGATTGAGTGCAATGCAGTATGCCAGATATTGAATTAAAATCATTGTATTTACAGTTTTGGTAGTATTTTGGTAAATGTAGCACTACTGGTTCTTTTATCTCTGTTGCAACTGATCAGATATCTAAAAATAATGAATATTGTGATATATCGTGTATCATGAAAAGTGTTGCAATATTATATTTTTGCCATATCGTGGATAAGGTACTTTTATTTTTATTATTTTTAGTTATTATGTCAATAAGTTAACTAAGGAGGCGCTATGTTAGCAGAATTATATTGGTATCAGGAGATATTTGCAACAAAAAAAATTAGCAACATCCGATGTTTAGATTTGACCGATGTTTCAAACTGATAGTTGATGACTGACGTATTTAAGATACTTCGAAGCAGAATGTTTAGGTGATATTGGGTCACTGTGCTAAAATGTGTCCTTTTCGTCCACCTCATTTGTAATCTGGAAATAAGTGTTACATGTGTCCGTAATGCTAATCTAGGTGGATTTAACCCCACTTTTCACATTTTTAAATGTTTATTTTTCTGCATCAGCAAATGCAATATCAGCATCAGCCCCCAGTACCCATATTGGTACATAGAAAGTAACAGTAGTTATACTTGAGCATGTCAAATGTCATTGACCTTTTCAGGCTGCCGTCATGACTCGTGATGTGCTCGGAGATGAACTGCCCGACTGGGTTGGTGCGAAGGAGTTTCATCAAAAGTACGAGCCTAAGGAGGTCATTGGCAGGTGGGTGTTAAAAACGTCTTAACAGCTAGACCTATAATTGAAGGATTTCTTTGGTTTTCTTTGGTTTTCCATCATGAAACTCTGGTTTGGTGCAGAAAAATACAAATTTTTATTTGTTATTGTTATATAGTGATCTCTGATATATAAACATAAAAAATATAGAATGCACCCAGATGCCTAGTTTTGATCATGGGTTTCCATTAAAAAGATGGCAAATGAGAAAGTCTTGGAAGGGAGCAAGAGGTATATTAGTGATACAGTATTAAATTTTGATACACTTTTTTGAACATTTATTTTTTACTTTTTTGCCACTGTAAATTGTTACACAGTGTGCAGCACTGTTTGCTGTATGTCCGTAAGGTATTCTTTACAAGCATAAATCTTCTGTAAAACATTTATCTGTGTGTAGAGGTGTGAGCAGTGTTGTACGCAGGTGTGTAAACAAACACACAGGACAGGAATTGGCGGTGAAGATAATTGAGATCACGGCAGAAAAAATGACTGCCCAGCAGTTGGAAGAGGTGAAGAGCTCCACTCTGAAAGAGATTCACGTCCTCAATGTGGTGCAAGGGCACCCGTCAATAAGTGAGTTAGACTTACTTTCAAACTGCAACTTTTGCTGTAGCACTGAAGTTGTGCTGATGCTGTAAATGTGTTCTCAGTATATCCTCAAATAGAACTCTTCTCTTTACTCTGTTTTCAGTCACACTTGTTGATTCCTACGAGTCAGCAACCTTCATCTTTTTGGTTTTTGACCTGTAAGTAATAGTGAACATCTCATATTTATTAGTGAATCTGTAATAGTGAATATCTATTAGTAAATCTCTCGGCTTTTCTTAGGTTCTTTAGTCATGGATCACTGTCAGATATTCCACATGAACATGTATACTACTTGTAGTACATTATTCCTTCTAGCATCTTGCAATATGCATCATTGTCATGTAAGAAAAAAGATGTAATAACACATCTTAACATTGTTCATACATAGTTTTTATTCCTTCCCACTTTTCACCACAGCATGAGAAGGGGTGAGCTGTTTGACTACTTAACAGAGAAGGTCACTCTTAGTGAAAAGGAGACCAGGTGAGTATATATATATACCAACATTTGATGAAATCTGTGTCTACAGTGTCTGTATCTGAAATGTCTGTATGTTCTCTAAGCTCGCCTGAGCACAAAACTGGGGGAAAAATTCAAAAGCGATCAAAAAAAGGCTAAAAAGGTTTTTTATCACTTCATTTATCATTTTAAATTCAGTGTTTTAGTCACATGGGGACTATATTTGATTGTGAATAAAAGTCTGAAAATTACATGTAATAAATAAATAAAATGGAAACTGTTAGATGTCCATCCAAGTTGTAACTATACAAAAATAATGCATCAGAACAAGTACTCTGGTGTTTTCCTTATCATATTACATTTAGGTATTGAACATAAATGGGTTATGCTATCATGACTACATGGATTATTCTACCGAATTGGTACAAAGTCAGCGCTCACAACACATTTGGGACTTTTAACCGACTTGGATTCAAATCCTTTTTGCTTTGAGTGACCCTATACCATAATTATGATTTTTTGTTCTTTTTTTATTAAAACAATTTGTCACTACCAAAACGTTACCAAATGTTTTGGTAGTGACTGTTTGGGTAGAGATTTTAGCTAATTTTGAGCATAACTCAAAACACTAGCCAGTACATGACTAGCAAACACAGCTTTTTTTTTTACTGTGGGGTTTGAACTAATTTGGCAGAATAGTCCACACAAATAGCTGCAAAATACTAATTTTTGTTCTTACTGTAATATTAAACCTGAATGGTATATTGTATTATTATTATTATTTTTTTTTACACTTCTAGGAGTATGATGCGTGCTCTTCTGGAAGCTGTCCTGTATCTTCATTCCCTTAATATTGTACACCGGGACCTCAAACCTGAAAATATTCTTCTGGATGACCAGGGACACATCAAACTTTCAGACTTTGGTTTTTCAGTGCAGCTACGACCTGGACAAAAGCTGAGAGGTGAGTGGTTGATAAAGTAGTAACATATGATTGTGGTTCTTCTCTTGAATAAAACTACATACATACTTTTCGTCTTTTGAGATAGAGTTGTGTGGAACTCCAGGATACCTTGCACCAGAGATTCTGAAATGTTCAATGGATGAAACACATGAGGGATATGGGAAAGAGGTGGACCTGTAAGTTCTAAAGAGAATTTGTCAAAATTTGTGTTCCTTTGGGGCTTAAGGAGTATTATTCTGTTTGATGAGCAGATGGTTAAAAGCAAATATATTGTACTCACTTTTTGGTGGTAGTTTTTCGTTGCTAACTCCAGATATCCTCCAGGTGGGCCTGTGGTGTGATCCTGTTCACACTTCTTGCTGGATCTCCACCCTTCTGGCACCGTAAACAGCTGCTTATGCTAAGAATGATCATGGAGGGGCGTTATCAGTTCAGCTCTCCAGAGTGGGACGACAGGTCTGATACCGTCAAAGACCTGGTAAGACTCTTTCTTTATGATGAGCATGGACTTACTATATATTAGTAATTACATATAGTTAACTTGCTTTCTCTTTTGTCATTTTGCCTTGTTTTTCGCTTTAAAATGTAGTAGTTGCAACAAAATGTATTTTGTTGCTTATATTGCTTATATTGTTAGATCTCCAGGCTTTTGGTGGTGGATCCTACACTTCGTCTCACAGCTGAGCAAGCCTTAGCTCATCCTTTCTTCCGCCAGTACCAAAAGGAGGATGTACGGCTGTTTAGCCCCAGGAAGACATTCCGGGTGAGTCTAACCCGCCTAATGAAATGAAAATAAATTTAAAAAAACACTGCAAAATATAATGCTGAATTAAACTGCATCTACATTGCCTGGTCTCACAGGGCCAGACGTATCTCATAATAAGAATGTCTGGGGACAATCATGAGAAAGCCTGGGCTAAATGTGGGTGGGAACAAACTAAATTTGATATTTTAAAACCAATCCAATCCCTCTTGAAAGCAGAGCTGAAAGTAAGGTGCGATGTTGTCTTTGTCAACATTTTCCATCAGAATTTAGTTGGTATTGTTCACAGTGTTAGTGTTAGGAACCACATGTCAAGTTGAATGCCTCTAACAGCTCCCTCACAGAAAGCAATTACATGAAAGGGTTATGGTTTTGAATATTATGCCTGATGCATTGGTTTATAATAGTTATAATAGGTATTGGCCTACAGTTTATTTTATATTATTTTTTTATTTTTATTATTATTTTTTTTACATATTCATGGCCAGTTACATGCAGGGCATTGTAAGACAAAATAGTAGTAGTATATATTTTTTTTATTTAATGCCATTTTACCATTATAAACATTCAGGGAAGGGGAGTAGCTAAGTAGCGCACTACTTTTTGCAGTTAACTACAAATTTTTGTAGCTAATATAAGTTTTATGAAATGTAGCTAATAGCTGTAGCGCCTACAAATTTTTGTGTAGCTATAGCGAAATTTTTTGCTACAATTTCGCTACAGGCTTCAGACAATCCACGCAAAATCTGAACCACAGAACGCGGTCGTTAACTGGGCTAGCGGCGACTGTGCAATCATGACTGAGCCGCGGACAGTTCGAGCAAACGGGCACACGCTGGACCCACGCGCTGATGACCTCTTACTAGTAGGCTTAACTGAGGGGTTGCAACCCAAATGTTGAGAAGAGCCATTTTGTCCTTTCAACAAAAATGAAACCACTTTGAGATGTCCGTTTTACCATCTTGGAGCCGCAACAGCTCTGCAGCAGTGGAGAGATTATTCAGGCCTGATTCTCACCCCAAACAGAGCTGGGGTCACTGATGAGAATTTTGAGGCTGAAGTGTTGCTGAAGTTTAACAAAGGACTCGGAATGTCATGTCTATATCTTGCTGAAATGTTTAAATTGGGGCAGTTTTATTTCAATAGTTGACAGTGCTTTGCACAAAGTTGTTTGGTTTGTATCTGGTTATTTTTCTTGATTTTTGTAAGGAAAAACCTGGAATGATTGACTTTGTCTTTAGTCAAAATTTTTGTTGGATATCATGCCATTGGTTGTGTAAGTCTGATTGTTGGTTACACTTAAACTTAATTTTTGGTGATCTTTTTATATATTTGCAGCTTTTCAGTTGTATGTTTTTTTCTGGCACATGACTAAATGCAGTGTCTTGTTCACACTTGTTTGGTGTCAGGTGGAGATTCACAAACATTCTGACAATCGCGCTTTGAAAGTAGCTAAAAAGTAGTGCACTACTTTTCAAAAAGTAGCTAAAAAGTAGCCACTACTTTTTCTGCAAAAGTAGCTAAATTGTAGCTAGCTACAAATTTTGGGAAAGTAGCTAACTACAAAGTAGCTAACTACTAATTTTTCAGGAGACACTGGTTCACTGGTCCTTTTGGATAGTAAATAAAATGGCTATATTTGTGCATCTTGTTCCTATCCCTGCCATTGGAAATTTGCCAGTAACTTTCCCTACGAGGCATAATTTTACATCAAACCACTCTGAATTACTTTTTGTTCAGTAGACTATTTATATTTAGTTTATAACTTAAAAAGGTGTAACTGAGTTGCATAATGCTGACACATGCTGTTTACAACTGTATATTTTACATCCCCAGGTCCTAATCTTGACAGTGTTGGGCTGTATTCGCATGCACTGCCGCTACAACCGGGCCAGGCCTCTGACGCGAGAGCTCCTGGCCAGAGACCCTTACTCTTTACGAGCTGTACGCAAGCTTATTGACGGCTGTGCTTTCCGCATATATGGACACTGGGTGAAGAAAGGAGAACAACAGAACCGGGCTGCTCTTTTCCAGAACACCACTAAAGTTATTCTTCTTGGTTTTGAGGACCTTGAGAGTTAGATTTTTTTGTTGTTGTTTCCTCTGTTGCTAAAATATTTTTGATTTGTCCATTAAGAGTTATAATACAGTTCAGGGACTATAGATATTAATCCGTCCAGAGGTGCACAAAACAGTTTTAAACTATTTATTCATTATCAGTTTCATTTACGATGCGAGGTGCTTCATTCATTTATTGTTACATGCATGTCATCTGACCTCACTTTTATTTTGTCCAGTGTGTGATCATGTGTTCTTAAATTACAAGTGCATCTTCACTTGTTGCATGTGTACCTTAAAAATATGATATGCAAATTGGGGTACATGAAATGATTATGAAAGTATAACAGTATGTCATGGATGGACTGTTAGTTATTGGAACTATTGCCTCCGTTCCAACAGATCTGTTGGTTATAATGTGGTTTTTACTGTGTGTGTTATAATCTTGATGAAGTGTCCTGCTGATTCTTCAAGTGCATTTCCAGATGTTTTACAGACCAGTTTATAAGCAGAGAGAATGTGAATGAAGTTAGATGGGTATTGTTAAACTACGGCGCCAGACATCTTGGTTTAGTTTTAATTTATACGTTGGTGATAATCAAAGTTCAGAAACATACATGGACTGCAGCAGTACAGTTTTATACCTGATGATGATCGTCTTATGTTAACAAACGTATTTAATGGTTACATCCTGTTCACTGTGGAATAATTTCTTTTAATATACTTGCCCACTTGTTCCCTTCATCTGTGATGACCAAACAACATGCTTTTATTACTGAGTACTGTACTGAATTTGACTAAAAAGTAAATACATTACTACATTATTACTGACTGGCTTGTCTGTTTTGTATATTCTGTCTTGATTTTCTTAATTCTTTTATGTAACTGTAGAACTAACAGAATTAAGAATATGGTTAGTGATAAATTATCATAAGCTTATATGGTCACTATACAACATTTTGGGTGGAGGGCTTTTAAAAGGTCTGGTGCTGAGTAGGTAAAACTTTAGATTTTACTGCATTCTTATAATGGGAAATATAAATGTCTCTTGTTTTTAAATAAATTCTGTAAAAGGGGCATGTTTAAACTAATATTATTGTAATATGTTAGCTCTTGTAACAGTTTACCATCATGAAAACATTTTATTTTAAGATCACTTGCAAAGTCACAGCAGCTTCGCTATATGGAAAATATTTTTTATGATATTTCTAGCGTATAATCAATAGAAAGTTGTACAAAGAAAGGTAATATTAATATTACATTTATTAGTAATATTAATAATACTAATATAATATCACTATTATATTAGTAATATTAATAATTGGAATTCAATAATAACTTAAACAGTGTAGACTGAAATGTTATAAATTAGACACCAGAACAAAAAATGATGGTTTATTCACAATTTATTTTTGAACAGATTTTTGAAGAGATGTTATGACATAGTAAAATAAAAAATTGTGTTACAAGTGTTATTAAATAATAAACTGTTATAGAATTGTAGAATTTGTAGAATTGTTATAGAATTGTAGCAATTTCTTGTCACAAAATTATCGCAAATAGCTATAAACAGCATTTTAACTATGAAAATCTCAATGCAACACAGCTTTCTTAGTTATTATGGAATCATTTACAGCTTCATTCATCATGAAACATTTATTTTTTTTTTTACAGCTTCCCACAAATTGTTTTAAACATAGAATATTAGCATCATATTACAATTACTTTACACATCTATGTGAAACAAATTTGGTTTTATATAATTGAAATTTTATATTATTGAAAATAGTGACTTCAAACATTTGAAGGTAGTATATATATAAACCACATTTATACTGATATATTTATATTTATAGTCTGTGGGGACATGTAGACATTTGGTCATTTCTTAGATTGAATGCTAGTCTCCAGTGCAGTAAGCGCAGTGTTAAGCTGATCAGTACTTTCCTGCAGCTGTTTTTCTAGTTGAGTGGTCAAGCGCATCACTTCTTCTTTTACTTCCTTTTCCACAATTGACCAGAGCTTTGCCTTTGATGATGGACCTAATAATGAAAATGACCTTCTAAGAAAAATTGTTCCACATAGGCACTTAAACCAAGACCCTCCTCTTCAATACCATCATAGAATCTGATCAATGTTAGACATGAAATACCACATTTATTGAAATTCCTGGCTGCTGAAGCATCTTCAGTGACATTTAAAAATGTGCATACTAGTTTTCTTATTGTAAAAACATCATTTGCTGCACATTTGCAACTTACTTTTCTGTAATATTATGCTATTTTAAGTTATGCTATTTACATCCATTCAGTAGCACAGATTTTTGACAGTAATAACCTGCTGCTGGCTGTGTTCAACAGTGGTTATACAAATATTTCGCAGTACAGTATATTGTTGCTGTGAGGACAAAAACTCATATCTCCAACTTTTTTAACTTAATAACTTTTTAGTTTATCATTAAAAAAAAATATATATATATATATGTTTACTTAATTGCAGAAAAGATGTGCTTTCAGTAGTGACAATACTTAACGTTACACACTGATTTTCAGACTTTGTAATACATTTACTTCAAAATAAAGAGATCTAATTGTTTGCCATGTGGCCATGAAGAACAGAGAAGCAAAGCATACAGAAAAAATATATGTATTATTATTACAAGTTGAAATTCAGGGGTTTAGGGTTTGGGGCTGACACCTCCCAACAGGAAGTACCCTATAAATCATTTTCAGCCTATTACTATCTCAATTAATGCTTAGGGTTTAAATAGATCATAACACAATCCCTGTAAATATCTAATGCCTGAATACTTATTTGTTTTTTAATGGTATTTATGTATTTATTTAAGAGATGTCCGTTCAAAGTAATTCAGTAGAATGATCCATATATACATACAACAAAGTAGTTTTATAAGCATGAAAAAGCTTTGAGAGCAATGAAGTTGGTTTCATCTTCACATATATGATTTCGTTCTTCCACAGCTTTCAAACAGTGGATGCCAAAATGGTAGCATGTGTACATTATGTTTTTGTCAAAAATTGATGTGGAACATCTTGTTTTTTGTGGACTGTTGTAATCAGTGAGCGGTATTGTTAAGTGATTGTCTACAAATTACATCACAAGTGGCAATCATTGGGGTCCAAGCAGCCTTACTGACTTACACAGTCAGTATAGGCCTTTTACCAGATCAAACACCAATGATAGGTACGTTTTAAGAATAACCCTCTTTACAGTAATTGTTCAGGAGAAGGCAAAAAAAGTACAATTTTTTTTACTTGTTTAGGCATAGCCGTTGAGCTCAATTAACTGAATCCTTCTTTGGCAATTATTTCTTCCCTCGTGTTTTATTCTCAGTGTGCAAGAGAATAATTCATTTCATGTTAAAATTACTGAAATTTCCTCCTGGGTGACAAAGCCAAAAAAAACATAATTTTCTGAACTTTTGCCCATGAGTTTGCATGCCTGTATAGTAGTTGTGAAATTATCTGCCTCATGGTTAGATATTTTACCATGTCTGCAAAAGAATGTAAAACTCTGATATATGGAATGAGCTATCTCAGTAGTGTGGTCAATGCTCAATAAAATAACACATTTATTTAGGTATTTTATGAGATGATTATGGAGCTTTTTTGAATTTGAATTTGGCCCCTGAACCCAAACTGTGGCCCCATTATGGTCCCACCTAAGAAAAACTGCCAGTGAAATAGATCCATTAGTTTAATTGCTCTTCACACTAATCTAAAGCAATTTCAGTACCTTGGTTTGGTGTCTCTGTGTCGGTGGTCAAGATTTCTGACAATGCTGTGTCTTGCTCATTTGCTTCCACTGATTCCTTTTCAGTTTCCTTCTCTGCATCTGTAACACACTCTGATGTCCAGATAGAACTATTCAGTCTCAAAGCTGACGTTTAAGGTATAGGATAGGGCAATGGTAACACTGCATTGAATGCTGAGTTAATGTACCTTCGCTGGCTTGTTCTTCTGTGACAGTATCCTCAGGCATTCCAATATAGGATAAGGATAAATCCAAATGCATCTTCACCAATGGTGAAGGAAAAAGTCCCATCAGTAAATCAAACAGCAGAAATTCAGCATGCAATAAAGACTGTATTCAGTGAACAAGATGACAAAGATACCTGAGGTGTGAATATGTACTTGTAAAGTACATAGTGTCTCATATATGTGTTGATGAGATATTTTATAATCTGGGTTACTTCTTCTGAACTGAAAAGACTGATGCTGAAAGGAGGTCTCTAGACAAGAAAGAATACAAAGTATTTTAAGAGCAAAAAAATCTCAGTAAATTAGTTCAGTTAATTATAACACATTCTGATTTACATACTCTGACAGAATGACAAAGCAGAAGCTCACTGCAGTAGGTGAAACACTGGTCCATATTGTTGAGGGGAGTTTCTGGAGTGTTGGAAAGAAGAGGTGTGTCAAAAGAGCTTAAAAGAAATTATCCAAGGTGACATTTCATTAGTTAAATTATCGTTACCTGATTATCACAAATGTAGATAAACAGTAATTCTTGGACATCTTCTGTTCAGAGTGATGGGTTTTGTGTCATGTACCACAGGCATTTTATTGAAGTTGTGACATTGCTTACAGTAGGAGACCCAAACCATGCTGGCAAAATACCCCCTACAGCATAACAAAGCCACTGAACCCCTTCACTGTAGAAATCAAGCATTCAGGCTTATACAGTTCTCTTGGTGTATTCTGCACATGCACTCTCCCACTTCTGGAGTATGTGGGGAAAGATGACTCATCTGACCACATCAGTTGGTTCCACATCTCTATTGAACATAGCACTGATGGTTTTTACACAACTGAACTCTGAAACGTGTATTCATCTTTGTAATGAGTGGTTTATGCATTGCAACCTTACGAAAACTTCCCTCTCTGTGCAGCTCATGCTCAGTCACATGAGCATCAGCTGCTCCTGTTTTTCCTTACATATCATACTAATGCACAAGCATCATCAAATGTGAGTTATCAAGTACAACCTCTAACCCAATATACTGATGTCTTTCCCATAGTTCTAAATTCAGATGCCACTGTTCCTACAGAAACATTAAGCCAGTTAAGCAGTCTTGTGATTAAAGCTCTTGCCAATAATGAACCTCTTTTAAAGTCACACAGATTTCCTCATGCCATCTTGATCCAAAATCAAAGTCAACTGCCTGATATTTTTATATAGGCAACAGAGGAATGGTAGGATGTTAACTGCTTAATTGTATGATGGAGTACACCTGTCTGCCTTTATACACGTTTTTCCTTTAATTTGTGACACGTCCGTATTTCGATGAAGATACAGTAACAAAAATAGCCTGTTTAATTCTAAGGGATAAAGGTAGGAAATGGTCATGTTAAAACTAGTTTTTTTTTTGTTACATGAATCCACACAAACATCATGAGCAGACTTCAGGGACTGAAGAAGACAAGAAAATGTATAGGCCCATTAAAATGAATCACCTGTGTTAAGCTGATGCACATTCTTTACAATGGAGAGAAGAACAGATGTTTGTTCTCTGTTGAAGTGTTGCTCCCTGCAGAACATCACTATATTTGTGTACAACTCGAGCAGAATTCCCAGCCGTGGCTCAGGTAGCTCAATTCTCAGTGAATGGCACAGAATCCTGCAGAAATCAGAAAGCAAACCATGGTTTATATGGCATATTCATTGTATAAATTCTCATCAGCAAAAGACCTGAAAATTTAGAATTAATGAATGAAAACCTTTCAATGTCTGGTATAGAGTCTGCCTTGTCAATTTCCTCCATATCATTGTAACTCAGGTCTGCCCTGCAGGTCCATTCAACAACAACACAATTAGGTGACAGGCACAGAATGGAAGAAGTCCATTTTAACTGTAATTAATTATAACATACCATAATAACACTCTGGCTTTCGGAGGACATAGCTCCTAGAATATAAGTGTTACAGTTAGTCACAGCAACAAAGTTCTGGCCTGACTGAACAATATTACACGGGTTTCTGCTTGCTGTTTATGACCAGGGTTATTCTCACAATGAACGAGCTCCTTTATATCGTACCGATGCTTCAGTCTTCATTTTCGCCCGCGTAGCTGAAGACTAGGTTGCTTTATGAACACGCTTTTAAAGTTGTCTCCTAAGTTAGCTAGTTAGCTAACTAGCAGGTTTCCTCTAAAAGCATGATAGCAGCGCTGGTCTGTGTTGCAGTGTCGCCTAGCAACAACCGGGTGCGCTCACACTGGAAGAAAACAGTCGTTTTAGATCAGTCAGAGACGCTATATTCAATTCTGTAATCAAACTACGAAAGACTTCAAAACATAAATTAAAAATATTTATGCATGTCGGAGGTAGAAAAATTATTAACTAACGTTATTGGGGAACGAAAACTGAGAGTTTTTTACTTTTATTTTGAAAAAAAAATGGCATACGTTTTTACAATGGGGAATGCCACAGCTTACCAACTGGTCATAACACATTTCTTGCAATATTATAAAAATTCTCGCGATAACGAATTTGATTTTTTCAAATCCATGAATTTTCTTAACAGGGCAGTAAAGTATTCAGATTGACTGAAAATGCCGTTTGTTCTGAGATCTCGCCCTCACTTCGTCCTAGGAAAGTGACCTTTATTTTGAAGCTAGTAGCTCGTTTTTGTAATGTTCCGCTGTAGCAGTTTTCGCACCGCTATCGCCGTTCACTATCTTTGCGGCTAGCGAAGGTTTGTCGCTGTGCACAGTTACATTTATTGTAAAGTCTGACGTTCATTAAGAAACGCCGATGCATTCATTTCTTTAGAATATGCACATCGAGTATTTACTTTACAAATTAGGACTTTTTGTTTTAGTGGAAATATCCGTGTTTACTGCTAGTTTACCTAACCTAGCTAACGTACAGAGACTTTAACGTTACTGCTAGCTAGCGTTAGCCGAGATAGATCTTATTAGCTGTCTAGCTAGCGTTAGCCATTCGCTTACAAACTGTTGAATGTTGTAGTGTATAAAGCTATATATTAATACACTGTTTATGATTAAACCTAAGTAACGTATTTTGTTAGCTTACAGCTTGACGCATATTTTAGTTAACGTTACCAGCTGTGCAACGATTTGAAGGTACTGAAGGCCCTCTGCAGTTGGCTACGTAGCGTTAGCTAGCACAATGTAAGAAACTGATTCAGTCCGAGGTACATTTATTTAGGTCGACTTAGATAGATAAATCAGTGCTGTTAGTGGATAGGGATACATTAATAGCATCCTAAAGACAAAGTAATAGACTTTTCCATAGAAAGACGCTTCGTGTAAGTGGACATGAAGGCTGTTGACAGCAGCCGCTACTGTTTACAATCTTTAAAATACCTTCGTGTAAACCGCACTGTTATATAGATCTAGATGGAGTGTTTAACCGATCTGTCTGTTTAAAATAGGGGAACCATGTCAGGCACGGGAGGTAAGCGTGCCTCTGGAGGGGACAGTCCCCCCGGACCCCCTGAAAAGAAGATGAAAAAAGAGGAAAAGACTACGACCACCCTTATCGAGCCCATTCGTATTGGGGGAGTTTCATCCACGGTGAGCTCCTGTCGTTACCATAGTCTCTGCAGAGATCTGAATTGTAGTATTGTAGATGTCAGGCTCAGAAATGAAATGACGCAGGATGTTAACGCTTTGTATTATTTTGTGCCTTGCAGGAGGAAATGGACATGAAGGTCCTTCAGTTTAAGAACAAGAAGCTCCTTGAGCGCCTTGAGCAGAGGCAGGCAATTGAAGATGAGCTCAGAGAGAAAATTGAGAAGCTGGAAAAAAGACAAGCAACTGATGATACCACACTTCTCATTGTTAATCGTTACTGGACCCAGGTACTAAACACATACACAGAGTGTTGAGTAGTGCTAGTTTTTATGTAATCTAGATGATTTAGCCATATTCCACTCCTCTGCTGATTTGTATGAAATGAAGGGCTGTCTATGGTTTTTGTTTCTTTTAGTATAAGGAGCATGAATGGTACTTGTCAAAAGTACTGTGAACAAAATACAAAATGCATGCCTCTGCACTGCTAATTGCTTTTTGACTGTGTGAACCTTCAGCGGTGATCACTATGAATGCTGTACCACAAACAGTGCCTAGACATTCAGTAACAAGGTATACTGCGATATTCAATGCACATCATGATGTTATCGTGGGCACTGTGAAATACTATCACCATCGTTTAATTGGGTTCTCCTTATCTATCGTTCTGACAGATGGATAGGATCATATTTTAGGTCAAACTTATGCAGAAATGCACATAATGGTAAAGGGTTCACAAACTTTCAAACAGCACTGTATGTTACTCTATATGAAAATTATTGTAAACCCTACCAGATATATGAAACATCCTTTTTAACACTTTCTGCACACAGCTGGAGGAAAATGTTCAAGAGTTACTGCAACGCGTTGAACCTGAGGTTACTCCAGCACCTGTGCAGACTCCCGTTAGTCCCCCAGCCTCTGTCCCTGCTTCTGCAACAGCCCCCTCACCTGCCACTGATGTTCCTGCCCCTTTGCCAACTCCAGTGGAAGGAGAGGATGGGCTCCCTCACCCTCTGCCTCCAGCAGAGGAGGAGAAACAGCAGCAGCCCGAACAGGTACAGAAGCAGGAGCAGCAACAGGAACAAGAGCAACAGCAGGCTGATGCTGCGGAGAAGCCTCCTGAGGAGCCAGTAGGGGATGGAATACTTGGTAAACATTTTTCATTGTCTTCATTTTCTACTGTTTTTTAAGGATGTCAGTGCTGTCCAGAAGTTTTAAGTCACATGACAAAATTATATTTTCAAGATGCATTCCAACAGCAAATGCTTGAATGATGTATGGCATCATTCATATTTTCAGTAGATGTGTTGGTGCAGCTTCTGTACAGTGCAGTGTGTTGTGATGAGTTATATTTAATATTCATAGCTCATGAAGTAGACGGTGTCCTGAAACGTGGAGAAAGGACCACCTTATCTAGAGATGGAAAAAAGGAACAGTCATTGAAGTGTAGGAGATTCCCCCCCTGATTCTCCTGCTGTAGAACAGCAAGAAGGAGCTAATTTCAACTGTTTGTGTTTGAGCCTGTGGAGTTCAAGAGAAAGTGCAGCTGCTAATGGGGTAACATGGATCTAACAGAATGTAATGTTCAGGATATTCCAGTCATTTCCTAGTTTTCTTAGTTTTGTTTATGCTGTGAACCAGGAACAGTCATAGAATCATTAAGATCTGCTAGATGTATGTTGTTGCATGGCAACATTTAATGCAGAAACCCTGTTCATTCGTTTTACAAGCAGCCTTGCATGGTCTGATTACCCACTAGCATAATGCTAATGTCCACTACCATACCCATAGGTGCTTGGGAATCAGCGTCACATTTTGCTGCATCATGGGATTGTTCTGCCAGTTTGTTCTTTGTTTTACATGCTACAGATACTCACAGTCACTGCATAAAGCATAAAGAGCTGTTTTGCTCTTTAATTAAGTTTAATTTAATCTTTGATTCACCTATAAGCAAACATTGCTTGCCTGGCTAGTTAGCAAACTAATGTCAGCATAACAGCACTGTCTGTTTTTCTTGGTTTTTGCTCTGCTCTTTAATCTAGTAGCCATGTAGATTTACATGCTAGTACGCTCTGCAAACGTATTTAGTGAGTCTGTGATCCATGAACAGCCAAACCAAGGAAACATTAATCACCTATTCTGAACCAGCCTAGACCTACTAACCCTACCACAACTGCAGCTCTCAAGTGACTTCAACTCAGAAAAAATGCTTTAAAGCAGAAACGGTCAAATGCAGACAATGTGATCAAAATGACTAATAACTTATCCGCCATGAGTAAGCACTCAAGATCCTAAACAAACTAATCTAAACTGGACTGGACTTGTTTGTGCCTTTATGTTCATAGAAGAAGTGCAGCAACTGTGGATAAACATTTTGGGAAACATGAATGTAATTCTATTCTGTAGTAAAAACAAGCATTTCACTGCAAGCTGGCCCCTGACATGAGTTCCTTGATGTTCTGTTTATTAAGGCACTAAACTTATAGAAGCACTTGTGCTTTTGCCAGTATAATAAGCAGCTCTACCACTGCTGCACATATCACTTTTTCCTCCTCTCCTAGCTCTCTCACTCACTATTGCCTGAATCACTCATTCGTTTACGTCTCTGACCACCTCATACTACAGGACTCTTCAGCTCAAGAGCTCGATCGGAAGGCTTAAGATGAACTCATTCCTTTCTTGCTCTAAGAGACTCGCCACGCGGTCATTCTCCTGGAAAATCGCTTGCAAATGTGAAAATTTGTTGGAAGGGCCATTTTAAAATCAGGGTAAAAATGGTCATATACACCTAGCTTTACCATCATACAAGATATTAATAACATTTAGTGAAAACAAATAGTGTTCATACATGAAACAACACACTTACTGCACAGGGCTGAGCATCTTAGCACAAATTGTTTCTTAAATGGTAGAGAGAGCCTCACATTGAACACTCCATCTGCCAATTAAGATGATCTTTATACTAAGATGCTGTTGAGGCCCAGATAAACAGTTTTCTTGGCTGGCCTAAGACTTTTACACAGTATTGTGCACAAACACAGCAAAAACTGTCACACCAGGACATTTTTCATCATTTGTGTCCGATTTTGTATCTACAGCTCCTCCTCCACCTCCTCCATTAAGCGAGAGTGCAAAGGCCTTCCTCTCCACTCTGGATAACAGCAGCGAGGAGGAGCTCAGTTTGCAGCTGCAGGACAGAATGCAGTTCAGCAAGGGAGCAGTAGCCTGCATGGTCTGCATCTTTGACCGTCTGCACAACTCCATTGAAGATCTGTGCTCTCGTGTACAAACAGCAGGTAACTAGGCGCTCATTTACTTAAATATGCATGGTTTTAACTTTGGTGTATGACAATCTAAAGCTCCTGTTTAGGGATTAGTAAAGTATAAACAGCTCCAAGCATTGATGTTCATTGTGAATAAAGACTGAAATACATAGACCAGATATGAAGAAATCAGGTTCCTGTTCTTTATTACTCTTTTCTATTAAGCCAGGATCTTGTCTACAGCATTAAGGTTCACATAAGCATTTTTGAAGATTGAAACAGTCTCATGAACATGCTACACATAAGAAACAGACAATAGTTAATAAATATTGAAACTACATTGCAGTGCATCTGAAATTAAGTCCAAACAGCGTAGATGTTTTACTCATACTCAGTGTTGTTTGCGTTTCCCTTTTAGTATGTGAAGATGATGCTCAGCGGGAGATTGTTGCTACGACTCGCACGCTACTAGAAGAGAATAATAGACTTCAAGACCTGGCTTCCTCCCTGCACGGGAGACACCACAAAATGTCATTGGAGGTACGTACTTGTCAGCCTAGTGCATGGTTCTGTATTGATGATATTGTGTTGTGCTAGAGGATAAATACAAGACTACTGATGTGTGTTGATATTCTCAGCTGTGAACAACAGCCCAATATCCACACAAACAATGCAGAATTTTACTTGAACAGGGCCCAGGTCAACAAGGTCACTGACTGCCTTAATGAAATTATCTAAGAAATTAAAAGGAATATTATAAGAAGCATTGTTTTTTGCTAAAATTCTCACATGACACTGATGCCCTGGACATGAGCTTTTTGTACTGAACATAGTACTGTACTTTAGAGTACTGTGTACTGAATCTCTTTTCTGTGAAAACCAGATGTATTATTGGGACTAAAGAATGCACCACTTGATTGTTTTGTCATTTTAGCACACTTTCGTTAAAGATTGCTGTCTCTGATCTTGTCCCTGTAGTATAATGAACTGGTTGACAAAGTCACAAGTTCTGAGACAAAAGTGTCTGAGATGGAGACGGCTGTGGAAGACCTGCAGTGGGACATCGAGAAACTCCGCAAAAGAGAACAGAAGCTCAATAAGCACCTAGCGGAGGCTCTTGAGCAGGTCAGTTTTTTTTTAAATATTTTAATTTATATATTTTTTTTATTTTTCTTATTAAGAAAAGTTGGATTAAAACAACAGCCGCAGAATTTCTGCCACAGAGGGTGTAATTGAAAAATGAGGCAGGTGTTCAAACTAATAAGGCGAAAGTATTTTTTTTTTTTGGGAAGTATTTGTTTGGGAAATACAACTAGTTGTTCATAACCCAACCACAGAATGCGCCATGTCTGATCGATCAATAACACATCAAATGCACTTTGGAAACTAGCAACCGCAAACAAAGTTGCTGAATCTCTAATTCCTTGTTTATTCTTTTATTAATTTTTATTATAGTGTTTTAAGTTTTATTATGTTTTGCTTTGTTGTAATCACTAAAGTTTAGTTAGCTAGCTAACAGTGCTTGGTTTAGGATTTTATATGAGGGACAGACTCTCTGGGTATTTTAATCCTTCATCATACATGACATGCATGGGTCTACAAAATTACAAAGCCCAAAGTGCGCTCTTTTCTCAACTTCCAGAAACGCCTCACCGGAATTTCAGCCCTTTACCTTTGTTACAAAATGACACAAAATTGTGAGACAATCTTTAAAGATGCAGGAACTCTTAACAGAGTGTTTCAGACAGAGGTTGAATAGAGATGTGCATTATGAGACTAATAATGTGTTTTCGGAAAATTGAAGCATGTAAATCTGTTCTTGTACACCCCAAAAATAAAATTATGAACAATGAAAATGAGCATAATAGATTCTCTTAAATATTTTATGTGTTTCTCTGACTCTCAGCTGAATTCGGGCTACCATGCCTCCGGCAGCTCTGGTGGCCTACCTGGTGGTCAGATTACTCTAAATATACAGAAGGTAAAGTTTGACCAGAGGCTTTGAAATATGGAGTTTAATTTTTAGAAATTAGCAACAGTTTTCACATGAGTGCTTATTTTTGCATATTAACAACTCTGTTGTCAGTTTGAGTTGCTGAATGCAGAGCTGGAGCAGAACCAGGAGTTGGCCAATAGCCGCATGGCAGAGCTGGAGAAATTGCAGCAGGAGCTACAGGAGGCAGTTCGGGAAAGTGAGAAACTGAAGGTACTAGAGTCTTGTGAGTGGATAAAATGTCATTTTCATGTTTTTCTTATTTGCTCTGGAAATACTGAGTCCTTCTTTATCTCAGCCACGTTGCGTTGTCTTATGTCACTGTGTCATTTCAGTTGCCGCTTGTACCTCTTGTCAGGCCTGCATTGTTCTAGGGCTGCATAGTATGGACAATATATCGCGAATGTTATATTTCTACGTAATTGTGATTGTGATATGCCTCACAACAGAGCTAAAATAGGCCTACATTAATTTGACCAAACTGTTTTCTTAGTGCCTTAAAGGGGAATTATGGCAATTTTTCAATATTTCTGCATAATTAAATGGTTAAGAGGTAAACAAAATTATTCATAATGATTTTCAGTGAAATCCATCATTCTAGACAAATTGGCAGCCAGAACTGTTCACAGTGGGGGTTATAGGAAACAGATGTCTGAAGGGTTTAATTCTTCTAAAAGCCCCCTTACATAAAGTTATTGCATGAAGTGCTTGTAATATGTTGCCTGATGCCTGAGACTTTGTTTTACAGTAGTTTTGAGAAAAGATCTTGGCCTGAAGTTCATGGTGGAGAGGTGCATGCAGAACATAGCGCAGCAAAGTAGTCCCTAAAGAAAACAGATTGACCACTGTTTTACCATTACATATAAAATCTCCGAAGACGTGTAGATTCATTGGTGGTTTTGGATGGTAAAGAAAATGGCTGTATTTGTGTTGTAGTCACAGAACCTCTGGTTTCTGTCACCACTACTGTAAGGAAATCTATGTCATTCAAATTCCTCTACAGTTGAACCATTTCACACCAGACCACTCCTAATGACTTTGTTCACATCCCAGTAACTGAATTACACAGAAATTGTAAAGAAACGGTGGAATTACACTTTAATTTGACATAACATCACCACCACAGAAGACTTGTGTAAATGGTCTGAATGCTTACAACATGCAATAAAATTTTGTAATTTGTTTATTGTATCCTTCTCCAGTTTTAATATTTCAGTATTAAGATAGCAGTTGGCAATGTGTAACAATGTATTCTGCAGTGCTAAATTGCTGACATGGATGTGTTTTTGTAAGATGGACCTTCGGAACATTCCAGAGGAGGTGGTGAAGGAGACTCCAGAATACAAGTGCCTCCAGTCTCAGTTCTCTTTGCTGTACAACGAGTCTCTAGGAGTGAAGACCCAGCTGGACGAGGCCAGGGCCCTGTTGCTTACTGCCAAGAACGCTCACCTACGGCAGATAGAACACATGGAGGTTAACATCATGAACGCAAAATGTTTCTGTATATAGCATCTCTTTTTAAAACGTGATTCAGTACAGACCAAAATAAAGATGCTAGAACATTCAAAGAGCAATCTGAAGCTTAATGTACTATATACATAGGCCTTCATTCAACCAGTTATCATATCAAGATTATGTCCTTTATTTTCTTTAGTCTAAAAGTATAATTTATTTTTTGTGCTGTCATTATCTTTGTAGAGTGATGAGCTGTCTCTTCAGAAGAAGTTACGAACTGAGGTCATCCAGTTAGAGGACACGCTAGCTCAGGTGCGCAAGGAATATGAAATGCTAAGGATCGAATTTGAACAGAACCTTGCCGCCAATGAGCAAGCAGGTAAAACCTCTCGTGCAGTTTCTTTTATATCAAGTTTGTTCAGGTGTTGTTAGAGAGTTGCAGGTGGCTTTTTAGCTTTCATTTCATACCAGTGAATTTCCTTGGGGCAGACTTGGTTTACTGTAACTATGGCGGAGGAGAGGAAGTCTGTGGGGGTGGTGTATCCTGTCATCACTTTTCTATTCTTTGTTATTTTGGCCGTAGTTCAGTGCTTACCAAGCATCAGATACTGAAACAACTACCGGCTTATCAGCGCTGCTGTCTCTTTATCTTTACTGTGTCATGTTCTACAGGTCCAATAAACAGAGAAATGAGACATCTAATTAGCAGCCTTCAGAATCATAACCACCAGCTCAAAGGGGATGTGCAGAGATACAAGAGGAAGTTGCGTGAGACTCAGATGGAAATCAACAAGGTTCAGCTCACATTCACCTCTTGATGTCTGTGAAGTAATTTTATATTTAAAAGGGGCAGGCTTTCTGTGGAAACTGAAACCAGACGTTTTTTTTTAATGATGAATTCGCAAATTTTGTTGAAATGATGTAAACACATTTATTTAAAGCTGTTCATATTATTTGTTTTTAACATGCAATCACATGTAGACCTCCCCCCCCCAGTATAAACAAAGAAATTTTTATATGGTGGGCCCCTATTAGAGTGATCTAGCATTGTCCACATAAATTAGGCCAGTGGTCACCAACTTTAGTTCTGGACATATACCCTGCTGTGGAGTCTTGTTCCAACTACAATGTGCCACACCTGCTTCAGATAATTAACTTCCTGATCGGCTGAATCAGATGGATTAGGCCAAGGTGAGGGGGAGGCAGCATGTTACGTATTATATAGGCTGCGATTAAACTCTGCAGGAAAGTAGGTCTCCAGGAAGATGTTTGGTGACGACTGATTTAGGCCATTAAATGTCCAGGCCATAAAATATAAAACAAAGTGTATGTAAATACAAAGTCTTCTATAACTATCAACAGTTTAGTAAACCTGGTCATTATACTCTATTTTCAAAAGTGATGAGTGTCAAATGGTTATTTTGAAGACTTGACAATATATTCCGCATCTTGGGAACAACATTTTGCAAATTTATACTGAATATATTATTGGTCAAATTTTAGAATCTTGAATTAAATGAGTTTTCTGCTCTGTTCTGTTTTGTAACTTGAAACTAAAGTAGGATGATGATAAACACTTGTTTTCCAGTTGAAGTGTCAGAGCGGAGAAGCCGGCAGTATGCTGATGTTGGAGGAGAATGTGAGTGATGGAGGACTGGATGTGAAGAAAGAGGAGGATGATGACCAAGAAGAAGAGGAGGAGAGGAGGCGAGAGCTGGAGAGACAAAGAGCACGGGAGCGTGAGAGAGAGGTGGAGAGAGAGAGGGAGAGAGAAAGAGAGCGGGAAAGGCAGCGCAGTGAGGAGCTGAAGAGGAAAGACTCTGACACACTGAAGATGCTCAGGACAGAGCTCAAGTATGCCTCATCTTTCACACATTAGGATTGGGATTGACACCCTCAGATTACAAGATTATCCTTCATAATACCCTTAGAATAAATGATTACAGTGAAATTCAGAATACAGCATATCTGATAAGACTATGTGAAAACATTTTCATATCTAATAATGCACAATGACATCAGTGTTTTAATGCTAATGTTTTGTATGCACAAATTGTCCCCCATATCACCTAATCAGGAAAGCTCAGGAGTCTCAAAAGGAGATGAAGTTGCTGCTAGACATGTACAAGTCTGCTCCAAAAGAGCAGAGGGACAAAGTGCAGCTGATGGCAGCTGAGAGGAAGGCCAAAGCAGAGGTCTGTGTGCCCTTCAGATGGAACAGTGTTCTTTTTCTTGAGATACTCATGCATGTACAGCAGAAGTTCATTTAGCATCTTTTGTAGGTGGAGGAGCTGAGGCAGCGGGTACGGGAGCTTGAGGAGAGAGAGAGGAAGGAGAGCAAGAAACTGGCTGATGAAGATGCTCTGAGGAAGATTCGAGTGGCAGAGGAGACCATTGAACATTTGCAGAAAAAGCTTACTGCCACAAAACAAGTATGCTTGGCTAGGTCATACTTTATATCAGTTCACTGTTTTCTACCTGTATGAAAAATGCTACACAATCATGATCATACAATTTTTATTTCAACTTGCTCATGTTGACTGACAGATCTGATTGTCAGTTCTCAAACGTTACACTTAAATTCAAATTTAGCAGAAATAAATAACTTCTAGCACTGCATGGTGGAGCTATCAGAATTCATCAGAATGGTTTTGATTTCTTAATTCTTGTTTTTCATTGTTTCTCTTCATAAAAATGTTTTTTGTGTTTTTATTCTCATGTTAAAGGTTTGATTTGGATTAATATATGATTGACCCTTTGAACTGTGTGGTTATTATTGACTTACCGGTCTTAAGATTTGTTCAGTAAATGCTGTGAATTATTTGGTTGGTACAATGAAACTAATACGTAAGTTGTGTAATTATGAGAGTGAAGAAATTAAGTTTGGCCCTACATACAGAACACAGAACCTTGAGGTTTAAGCAATCACCAGCTCTAATGAACCTTTCTGTGTCTACTGTGCTCAGGAGGAGGAAGCCCTGCTTAGCGAGATGGATGTGACAGGTCAGGCCTTTGAAGACATGCAGGAGCAGAATAGCCGACTAATGCAGCAGCTGCGAGAGAAAGATGATGCCAATTTCAAACTGATGAGTGAGAGGATCAAATCTAACCAGATCTATAAGCTGCTGCGAGAGGAGAAAGAGGAATTGGCTGACCAGGTTCTCACCTTCAAAACCCAGGTATGCAGTGAATTTTGGGGTACAAGTGCTGCAATATGCTGAGGTCAGCTAATGGAAACTAAGCAGGTTTTTATAATGACACACTTGTAATATAAACAGTGCTTCTGAAGTAGTAGTGTAAATTAAGCAGAGGTAATTAATTGTTCATACGAATTGTTCTATTTACTTTCAAGGTTGATGCTCAGCTGCTGGTAGTGCAGAAACTGGAGGAAAAGGAGGGCATCCTGCAGAGCTCACTGGCTGCTCTGGAGAAAGAGTTAGCACTACGCACACAAGCTCTAGAACTCAACAAGCGCAAAGTAAGAGGAAGATCACAGAAGTGTTATATACCTGAACTTGCTAGACAACTCTAGGCAAATGGTGTAAGATATGGTATAGACAAGATTTTTCCTTTATCTTGGGTTCAGGCAGTGGAAGCAGCTCAGCTGGCTGAGGACCTTAAGGTTCAGCTGGAACACACCCAGGCCAAGCTGAAGGAGATCCAAACGTCAGTGCTGGAGAATCGTACTGCACGTGAGAGGGAGAGCGGCAATCTCAAACGCGCACAGGTACAGAACATCAAAACATACACACAAATGCAAAAAAAAAAAAGAGAAATGGAATGTCAAAAGAGCTTATGGGCTTATGCCGCTTGTCTTTTAGGAGGACTTGTCTCGACTACGCCGAAAGCTGGAGAAGCAGAAGAAGGTGGAGGTATATACTGATGCTGATGAGATATTGCAAGAGGAAATCAATCAGTATAAGGTAAAGGCTTTACAGATGCTATACAGCGTTGAATAGTGTTTCTCAAAACAAGCCATTAATCTTTCTGCTTTTTTTGAATAAAGAATTCACTGACTGTATTTTTATCTTTAGGCTAAACTGCGTTGCCCCTGTTGTAATACTCGGGATAAGGAGACTGTGCTTACCAAGTGTTTCCATGTCTTCTGTTATGAGTGCTTGAAGACCCGCTATGACACTCGCCAGAGGAAGTGTCCTAAGTGCAACGCTGCTTTTGGAGCCAATGACTTCCACCGCATCTACATCACTTAAGTTCAAGATGGGATGATTAACATAAATAATAGTAAAGACATGGGACATTATGGAGAAGTAAATTTAAGAGCAGAGTACACATTTCTGCTCAAAAGGCTTCTTCCAGTAGATCCATGATCAGTTGGTGCTAGAGACCAAATGGACAGTGAGTTTGCAGATTGAAGAGGTGATGAAGTGAGTGACGATTATAGCCAATAGCACATAACCAGTGCTTGTTTATAGCTGAGGTATCCAAGCCTTTTGGTTGTTTTTCCATTTTGTTTTCTAGTCTTTTCAATGTTCTGTAAGTTAATGTTTTTTTTTTGTTTGTTTGTTTACTTGCATTTGCTTTTTGAACATGTACTGGAAATTTCTAAAAACACTGCACATCACCACAGTCCCTTAAATAGAATTTCCGGTACTCCTCGCATAATGTGTTGCAGACATTCTAACAAGTTGATAGAAAATGTGCATCTGCAAAACATATTGCAAATTTGTTTTCCTTGTGGTAGTCATGGGTCTGATCCAAACGAATAGAGCAGTAAGTCTGTTCAGTAATAGGATCCAGCTTCTGATGTAATGCGCTACTCTCTGGCTTCTGATGGAGTTCTTTAAAGTACATAACAAACAAACGGACATATGAGAGAAAAGCTTAGGACAGGTATCTAATGGATATTTTGAAGTCACAATGTTACAAAATCAACATGCAGATTTCCAGAAAAACAATGTTTCAGAAGTAAAAGTTCTGGAGGTGTCTGATCTTGAATGGTTCAGAATTTACATTTGCACTAGCTTGGCTGACGTAAATGGGAATTCTTATTTCATTTTGGGGCCCACTCTCAACATAAGCTATGCAGTTACTGATCCTATCTTAAGGGGGGTGGAGAATAAACACCATAGCTCATAATATGGCTTCAAAAACCTCAAGTTTGAGCAATGTGTCTTTATTATGATAGCCGGTGAGAGCCAAAAACTGAGGTGGAGTATCTTTTCGTCCCCATGTAAGAGGTCTTATAAGAGAAGATTTGTTAGCAAGCATGCAGGTGCTCACAAAGAATTCACAACAAGGATATGAAATGAGGATGGACCCATGGGCCTACTTAAGTGAAGATCTAAGTTCACGTTTGGCTCGTTCTCAGTCTTCAAGCCACAGAAAGTGTAACTTGTAACTGCCTATACCTCCACAGAAAGAAGCTCTTGTGTGAGACAAGTCTTATCCTTGGAAGCTTGAGATTTGGTATTAAACACTGTTTTCCCTTTTTTATTAAAGGGGAAAAAATAAATTCAAAAGTTCTGAATAATTCAGTCCTTGAGATTTAAACAGTCTGTTTGAGAGTGGTTTGATGTGAAATGGTTTGTTGTAGAGAAACTTGTAGACTCAGATTTACAGTTGCAGTGATAGGAACCAGGGGATGATATGTCTAAAACACAAATATCCATTTTACTATCCAAAACTACCAGTGAACCTACATGTGTCTTCTGAGTTTTAGATGTAATGTTGATGGTAAATAGTGGTAAATTGTAGAAAGAAAAGTTTTTATTGGGGACTATTTTGCCTTACAACGCCATGCATGTACCCCTCCACCATGAACAGATTCAAAATAAATGGATATTTATTTTAATTAATATTTGATACATTTTAAGCCATTCATACATTTTAAGCCAAAACTTTAACACAAAGCTATCATAAAACTATGACAGCAGGCAGCAAATATCTAACCATATCATAGCTTTCTCAGAGGGAGCTTTCAGAGGCATGAAACTAGGGTGACCGTATTTTGGTTTTCAAAAATGAGGGCAGCACGAGGCACACTGAGGGAGGGCAAATGTCAACATGAAAGCAAAGCCAAATCCTAGACATTTAGGCGATTTAAAAATCCCGGACAGGCGCATTTTTAGGTTCCAAAAAGAGAACGTGTCCTGGAAAAAGAAGACGCACTGTCACCCTAATTCAACTCCTCAGACGTCTGGTTCCCATCACCACCACTGTGAACAAGTCTAGTTAGGTAAGTTTCTCTAGAACAGAGCGTTTCACACGAAACTCGGCTTTGTTTACATCTCAATCGTTTAATTATGTAGAAATGATTAAAAATCGGTGGAGTTCACCTTTAACATGAAAAAGGTTGGGCTTCGCGTCAGTCTGCAAAAGTGATTTTTTTGTACCGTGACAGACGAAGATTTTGCCCATGAGGTTTTCATCAGAACAAACTCGTGATGTCATTGCCATGTGAGCTGAATGCAGTTCACATGCACGTAAGCACGCCTAATTCTCCTTTACCGAGGGGTTTTGGTTCGAATATCCACGGAGTATACCGCTGACCTCATGACCAGCCTGCAAACTCCCAGGACACTACATTTCGTGTTGTAACGTTTGTGGGCAGGTGTGCAAATAGCCTTAGGGAAGTCTGAGCTGAGGAACGGGAACAGCAGAAACCAAAAGAAAAGTGAAGGGAGGTTGTGGTTTAAAAAATAAAAGTCTGTATTTTAACTTAAGTACGAGCAATGAAATGTTCGGGTGAGATGTTTTTCGTCTTCTTACACACTGGTTCTGTGTTTGCTGCGCCGCCCGTGTTAATAATTCCAGCACACACACACACACTCACTCACTCTCTCCTCTCTGGCTGCACTGTTTGCGCTCTTGGACTCCGCTCAAGGAATTACGTCGCTGGGTGTGGTGACTTTCATGAGCTTCATGAGCCCAGTTTGCTCAACATGGGCTTGTAGGAGACTGGGGTCTTTCAGCCTCTTCACCAAAAAACCTCTTTAAAAGTACTCAAACCTTTTGAATCGAAAGAGAAAAAACACTGGCGTGAAACATTTCTTCATGTTAAACACATAAAGCCGGTGCGAGCTGTATGAATGTAAACGAGGCTGGGTGAGCAGTGAGGTAGTCTTCAGGCTTTAGGGATGCCCTTCCTCTCCACTGTTGGGCATCATTAAGACAATCTCAGTACAGTACATAGGAAATGAGTCAGAGGAGCTGAGAGCCCAGTGCGTGGGCGTGGGCGCTATTAAAACAAGGCCGAGACTTGCGGTGACTCATTCACATGCTCGCTCTGCTACGGCACGAAAGCGGCAGCTGCGGCTTCTTTATCTTCTGAAACTTTTTTTGCGGGGATTGCAGCTGAACAACAATGGATATTCAGACCGTCTGTCGCCTCTTATGTTTGGTCCTCGTGGCTGGAACACATTTAGGCGGAGGGGTAAACGCGGAAAACAGTAAGAGTGCTCTTTGGATTTCCTCACCAACTTTCCCTTTTTAACGTGACTAAAAGTGTGTTATGAAGGGATGTGCTGTTTGGAGCAGGCTAACCGTGTCGAATGAGTTTTAGCTAAGGCTCAATCTTACTGAAACCTGCCATTGGAACATGTGTCGCAGGACAGGGCTGTCCCGCTTTGTGTTGGATGAACATGGCGTGATAACTGGAGTGGAGTTTCACTGAAGACTCGCTTCCTTTAGCTCGACTTCCCACCGGTTCCGCATTCCGATGTCCTTATTTCACTCCCTCTCACACGGCGGGAGCTGAAGTTCAGCGCTCCCCGGAGTCGCAGACCTCTCTCCATTCAGCTCGCTGTGAAAGTTTTTTGGAGCGGTGTCTTTCGGGTGGAGCAGAGGGAAAATGTCTTTCTGTCTGGCGTGAAGAGGTTTAATGATACTGCAGCTGCAGTTCATGTGTCTTTAGGCTGCACTGTACTAGGCTAAAGCTGACTGACACATCGATTATGAAAGAGCCTGATTTCAGTATAGGGAAGCAGTGATTGAACCAACACACTGAGTCAGTAAATTCTGTCACGATTTCATGTCACTTTCGAAGGATAAAAAAAACCTTAAGCTGCAGTTTACAGGTGAACATCGGATGGCCTAGTAGTAGAGACAGACTGCAGTTTTTATTAGATATCTAACAACTAGGGAGAGCAAACTGACTACTCTAAGTACACTGATGATTAACTATATGACACATATAAGTAGTCTATGTACAAGTTTACTAACTTTAATGATTACTGATTAATTAATAATTAATATTATACTTTAATAATTATTGTTAATTATACATTCATAGGTAATTAACTGTAGGTTGCATATACACTCATAGGTAATTAACTTTAGTCTAAATATGCATTTATGATTCATTAACTGTAGGCTGTGTGTAAGTTCATAGATAATTAACTATAGGCTATATAAGCATTTATAGGTAATTAGCTTTAGGCCATATATAAATTCATAGGTAATTACCTGTAGATTGCATATAAATTAATAGGTAATTAACTTTAGACTACATATACATTCATAGGTAATTAACTTTAGGCTATATATGCATTCACAGGTAAGTAACTGTAGGCCGCATGTAAATTCATAGGGAATTCACTTCCCTTAAAAGTTTTTTCCCTTAAAAGTTTCCCTTTTTGAAGATACAAGGTTTTGTTCCAACAGCAGCGATTTGCATTCCATAGGTAATTAACGAATAGGCTGCATATAAATTCCTAGGAAATTAACTGTAGGCTATATATCCATTCATAGTTAATTCACTTTAGGCTATATATGCATTCATAGGTAATTAACCATAGGCCGCATATAAATTCATATGTAATTAACTGTAGGCCCCAGATACATTTATAGTTAATTAACTTTAGGCTATATATGCATTTATGGTTCATTAACTGTAGGCTGTGTATGAGTTCATAGACAACTATAGGCTATATATGCATTTGTAGGCAATTAGCTTTAGGCCATATATAAATTAATAGATAATTACCTGTCGAATGTATATACATTTATAGGTAATTAACTTTAGGCTGCAAATAAAAACAAAGATAAATAACTTTAGGCTACATAAACATTCATAGGTAATTAACTGTAGACTGCATATAAAAACATTACCAATTAACTTTAGCATATATATATATATATATATATATATATATATATATATATATATATATATATATATATATATTCATAGTTAATTAACTACAGGGCACAAATAAATAGGCTACATGTGAATACATAGGTAGAGCCCCTAATGGGTGTCCTTCCTTTCCTTTATGTGGTATACAGAGGCTGCACAATGCACAGTGCATAGACGTGCATTGCCCTCTGTTTATAATGCAAAAGGTCAACCCTGTACAGGTCAGTAGGCTACAAAAAAAAAAAAACTGAGCTCAGTAGGTTGTGTATGATCACCTGTTTCAGACTTACTTTGTCACTCCTGTGTTCCATCGAGATATGTTCACAGGATATGACTCTGAAGTATCATTTTCACTCATTCATTGCGCAGCTGATTTCACACACAATAATAAGAGTTATTGTAAGTGGATATATTTAGGTTGTTTGTGCACTGTAGTTAGTAAGCTTTAGTTTACAAAACGTGCATTGTTTATAGATTTCTCCTTAGTCACAAACTTTTCTCTGCACTGTAAAATATTGTTTTGCAGGACTGTGTCTTTAGAGACTCCGACTGTTAATTTCAGAGAGAGAGAGTGGTGTCTTTTGTGGTGCGTCTGACCATAGGCTTTCAGATTTCTGAGACATCTGCGTCAGAAGTTTATGTGAAAGGTGAAATTCAGCTGCAGAGCTAAAGCTGCTTCTCACCAACCTCTTCATGAAGTCACTTCTCCCAATGATTTGTGCCCATAATGTTTCTCTGTAAGTGCTCAGTAGCTGCATCATAGTCTGGGTTATGCTCAGACGGTCGAGCAGACGAAACACTGCTTACGCACTCAGAGCATGAGTAATAGCATTTCCCCACAAGTGCTCCACCACATCAGTTGAACGGAATTTCCCAGCTCATTTCATATGAATAAGAGACAAAAGCAGTTCCCTGGATTTCCTTGTTTTTCAGCTAAAGGCCATAGATTGTCAAGAAACAACAAATTTTCCCATCCTTGAAATTTCATGCACCCAGGTAGATATTAATTTATTTCTAATGTTTGTCTTTTTTCTCTTACAGCCTCCTGTAAAAACAAGGATTTTTATAACAAAGATCTTGGACAGTGTGTACCCTGCTCGACATGCATACAGTACCCCAAAACCCCATCCTGTGATACATGTGAGTTATAGATCTGTTTACTTAACTCAGCCCACATGTTGACAGAAATCAGTGCCTTAAGCTCAAATAAACCCATACAGTTTGCACTTATTTGTGGTCTACTTTTCTGTCTTAATGTCACTGTGTAAAATATAAAGTACTTTAATGCATGCAGTACTGTTCGTCATAGCATACTTATTATTGCCTTGGTGCTTCAGGTTAATAACTTTGTCCTGCAGTTTAACGCATTGCGAGCGAACAGTGTTGCAAAAGTTCAACGCTTATGCTAACATCAGGAGTGCTTTAAGTCTTGCTGTGAGTTTCTGAGCAAAGTTTTGGAGTTCCTCCAGTAATATTGTCCTGTGTTTAACAGGCCCACCCGACGAGCCCCAGGATACCTGGAGGGTGGCAGCCATTACCAGTTTTTCAGTGCTGGCAGTCGTGGTTGTTTCTGGAGCTTTGCTCATAGGAGTTCTAGTACATCAGTGCAGGTCCAGAAGAACTTTGCGTGGTAAGAACCTAAACACTGTGACACAAAATTACATTTTTATTGTTCACACATTCTCACCAAATATGGTTTCAGCCATGAACGTCTAAAGAAAATGAGATCTGCTCAATAATTTCTATAATAATAATTTTGACAAGAAGATCTCAAATCTAATCATATTCCTTCTGCTCATTGTTTAGAGCCAATTGAGGAAACTACAGGACCTCTTTATCCAGTGTAGGCACTTCATGCGGTAGGTGTTCTCTTTTTCATGATCTGTCTTTGTTTCTTATAAAAATAAGCTGTACCCTACTTGTGTCTGCAAAATATTTGGAATCTGATTTATCAACAGTATTGATAGCTGTGAAAACACTTATGGAGTGTTGCCATGAAAAAGTGTTCTGAAAATAGTCTTTTACTTGTTTTTCTAGCAAAAGCTGATGGGACAAAAGACTACAGGACAACCAAGTGAGCTGTTAGTTCAGTCAGTGAACAACTGGCTGAAACATTGTGTTCTTTGAGTAGCATGTAACTCTTCTAATTTATTATGTAGGTAGATCAAGCATAGAGGTGTTTAATGCACTCCAGACTAAGAAGACAAACTGTCACCGCAATCTCAAACGCCGCACTGAGACTTTGTCATTCACTGAGCGGAAGGTGTGAGCAAACCCAAGGTGCTGTTTGACTATTATCCTCTACATGACAGCGAGTGGATGCCTTAAAATGGATAAATGGATTACGTCTAACCTCTGTGCACACGTTCTAGGGTCATTTCTCTTACAGGCATTATTTTTTTAAATGTTATAGCAAGGGCCCTTGCTTTTTATGTTTTTTTTTAATATCCCTTTTTAAAAATATTTGTGACCCCTATGCACTTATGTCCATACATGTCAATTTGTAAAGCTTTCTAATTTATGGAGATATCCAGCAAAAAAACTGCCTTAACATGCCAGGAGTAGTGTATATGAAAAAGGGCTGTACATCACACAGCAATAGATTTTGTACAATACCTATTTACCTCTACATTAGATTTATTCTGGCATATGGCATATTGAATGTATTATGTAACCAGTGTTTTATAGATCCGTGATCTGTTTTATATTTGAGTACTATGCACTGTTAAGATGTAGTCATTGTAGTATCAAGAATGTTCTGAGACCGACTGGCTAAGTAGCCTGTCTGTGGCGTCATAGTTGTGGGACATTTTGCACGTATAGGAGTGCCAGTGGAAGGGTCCATCCCTTAGAGGCTGCTATAGGTGCCAGCAGCCCGTAAAACAGGAGGATGCAGCCAGAGAAACATCGTAAATCCATTGAATTCTCAGCCATCATATTAAAGATGTTCTGCATTTCTTGTCTTGTGATGCCTTTACATCAAGCATCATATCAGAATTGCTTAAACATTGCATTATCAAATGCAGGCTTACATTGCAATGAATTCATGTGCATCATGTTTAGCTGATGGACATGAATTCATATTAATGAAAAAATGTTGTAGATTGTCCAGTCATATAACAAACCAGACTAACCACCAGTCTAGTTAGCAGTGGGTTCACTGTGTAACTTGTAGATCATATATTTAGTGGGTCGCAATTATTTTACTAAATTTCAGTTTGCCTTGCGCAACATTTTCCGAAAGCCATCATACTCTATATTCAGACTTAAGAGAACACCAGCGTTTTTCTGACACATTTAGCAAAGAATGAGGCATTAAGAAAGAAAGGCATTGGTGAATCCAGGATTGAACAATTGTACAACATTAAGTTTATATAAACATTTTTTACTGGTCACTGTCACAGTGTTTAAAAGATATTATGTAAGACCACATCGTTGTCCCTTTACAAACATTTAAATGATGTTGGACTGCAGAACAGACTAAATATTTGTAAGCAATAAACTGAGACAACTGTTACATATTCAGTGAATGTGTATAAGTGGTAGAGGCATGTTGTAGAACTCATGTATGTTTTAAGTTCTCAAGTGTTGTAAATAAAATATCTGGAGTACAACGCCCTTATTATAAAAATACAGTCTTATCAGGAGGAAAAGTCAGTTGACTCATTTTCATTTGCATATTCTTCTAAAACTGTCCACCTCAACCTCCTTTATGATTAGTAAGCAAATCTTCACTGCTTGCTGGTACAGAGATAAGACAATGTAGGCAATCGAGAACATTTACATTGTGTTTATTCATTTCCAGGAAGTGAGGGCATGAACAACTACAAATAAACAGTATCTGCTTAGTCCCCTACTTGAGAAAGAGAAACATCGATTATAAGAACAAAAATAAATATTCTGTATTTAAGATATATGTAACTGATTACAGAGAATCTCAAAGATTCAGAAGTCAGTGGAGTTTCATGTCAAATGCACTTAAGCCATGAAGGTCTGCATCTCCTAGTCTTAAATAATCAGTAAGCACTGAAATAGGCATAAATGGAAACTACTATTAAGTTCATTCTAAGTAGGGCAATGATATGAAATGGCACAGAAATCCAACCTGGCATTATATCCTTGGCCAACACACATCTGCCCCAGATACTTTGTGCATCAGACCAGTGTCATTATATTTCTACTGATTGAGGTGTGAAACCTGAGCAATTTTGAAACTACAGAAAAGCGTCCCCAAAAAGGTGTCCCTGCCCATCATAGAGCCCGACCGATCATGGATGTTTGGGTTCAGTATCAACACAATCTCTAAGGTTACACATTCTCATTCACCCACTAACCGTTGTCGTATACTCAGCAGTCATTTTGAGAAATTACAGAGACTAGATTAAATAAAGGTGATATACAAGAGAATACATTAAATTACACATTGAGAAGATAACAGTAAATAACCTGGTCACTTGGTTATTTGAAATACATCACACTGAAATGCTTTTGGAGGAGGTATCTTTAAATGCATCATAACCATTATCTACAATACCTAGGTAATTACTGTTAAAGCACATCTAATACCATGCATAAAGTTTACTGTGTTAAACGGTGATAATGATTTTTTTTCAATTATTAACATAGGGTATAAATAGATCTTTAAATAAATAAATAAATATCTCTGATAGGTCTCAGGAAACCACTACTAAATCTATTGTTGCTGTTTAACAGCATTAACAGTGTCATCCATGATTAAAGTGAAGGACTTTTACAACGTTTAAGTTGTACTATCGATGAGGTGTTCACAGAGCTAATTTCTATAATGAGAAGTACAAAGACCTGAAAACATGGAAGCACATTAAGGATATGGACATCCTTCTCATCCATTAAAACATCAAGGTCACCAAGTCACCTGGAGAGGTGCATCTTGTTGCTGTTCTGGTTATGCCCTTTCTCTTGGGGTCAACCAAATAATCGGTCGGACTCTACTTATAGAGGCGATGCTGGGGTAAAGTCTGGGTAGATACATTATCACCCTAGTCTTCAGTTTGAGACCCATCATAGTACCATACAATTCTTTAATTTTTGTGCACTCCGTGAAAAGACAAAAAAAACAAACAAACAAACAAAAAAAACATTCAAATCTAAAATGGTTTCTGACAGGCACCATCACTTATTCTAAAGTTTCTACAGTATGACTGTCCCTACCAGAGGTAGTATCGAATCAATGCCAGTCTTAAATGTCCTTTAAAGAAATATTTCTTTTTAAAAATACAACAGTACAGGAGGCAACTCCTGCCAAGATCAGCATCTGGATTGGACGCCATCTTGACAAATACAGCAGAAAAACCTGATGTTTGACGATTATTGGCATTGGGCCTTGGGTGGGGGAAAAGAGTTTCATAAGAGAAGTGTTTTGATATCTTCCCTTGGAACATGGAGATTAGAGTGAGGGCCCTGCAAATCCTGCCTTAGAGGAAAGGGTCCACACCCAATTCCATGAAGGCATTTGGGTCCATGCTGAACGAGGACTCAAAGGACTGCTGGGCGTTCTGATGCATCTTCTGGTGGTGTCGCAGGTTGGACTTGCTAGAGAAACGCTTCTCACAGAGAAGGCAGGAGAAGGGCTTCTCCTTGGTATGTATGCGTCTGTGGCAGATGAGCTGGGTGGACACCCGGAAGGCCTTGCCACATTCCAGGCACTGGTAGCGCTTAGGCTCTGTGTGAATACGCCGATGGTTCTTCAGTGCCATTAGGTTGTTGAACTTTTTCTGGCACACCGAGCAGATGAAGGAGCCAGTTTTGTGGCTGTTCTTGTGGTTGAGCAGAGATCCAGCATGTCGGTAAGTGCGTCCACAATGCTCACACACGTGGCTCTTCTCCTCTCTTGCAAATTCCTCACTGCTCTCTTGCGGAACTTGCTGTTCGGAGAAGCCTTCTTGCATTTGGCTGAAAGCTGGATCCATTTTGGGGAGATCTTGGAGCCCCATCTGCTGGTCCAGTCCAGAGTCCCAATCTAAATCCTGCGGCATCTGCATGCCTTGCTGATGATGTGACTGCCCCTGTACGCAACGGTGGACCTCTCGGTGCTGCTGAAAGCTGGCAATATTGGGAAAGTTCTGCTGACACAGACTACAGTAGTAAGGGAGTCCCTTGCTGTGCACCTCCATGTGGCTCTGCAGGTGAGCAAATTCACAAAATGTCTTCCCACAGTCTGGGCAGCAGTGGCGGGCCATCTGGGAATGGCTCTGTAGTTCCAGAGGGTCAGTGAAAGTTTTGAGGCAGAGAGTACAATGGAGGAGGTCAGCGGAATGAGTCTTCTTATGGTTGAGAAGAGAGCCAGCATGTCTGTAAGAGCGCCCACACTGATCACACCTGCAAATGAAAAGAAATTGAAAACTACTTATAAAACAGACAATACATGAAAATGGTAAATCATTTTAAATACCATTTCACCACATCAGCAAACTATTTTCCATGTTAAGGCAGAGTGGTGCACAACAAACATTTTGGTTGTTGCTAAATAATTTGAAAAGTATTTGTGCAAGATTAATATTTTATAAATAATAAGAATTTATTTCAAATATGGGCCATTTATGAACAACTCAGCCAAAAACAGTCAAAAACTAATCCCATAGCCAGGGTTAACTGTAAGAGACAGAGGGGCTAGTCACAACAGTCACTGCAGATGTCTGGTAAATTGATACAAACATAATTAATTCGAACCAATTCTATGTTGTCCAACCTAAATGCAAAAACAAATGCATTAAAATAAATATCATTAGTGAAGTAGTGAAGTAGAAGAGCACATATCAGCCTGATAAAATTTAAATATGCTGCTTCATTGTTTATTTGGTGAGGTAGTTGTAACAAAACAATACAACAACCGTGCAGACTGTACTTTAGCATACCTAACCTGAGTAGCTTATATGCTTCAAATCAGTGCTAGATTACAACTACCAAGAGGATGATTAACATAATTTAGGCATGAATTCTTGGAATTTATACACACATCTAAGTAATCAAAAACCACTGAAAATGAACAACCTTTATGGTACAAAAACAGTCTTTGGGTGAAACTGAAAAACATCTGTCCGATTGTTGTGCAAAGTCACAGAAGACGTTGCCGTGAGGATACAGTGCCATGATCAAAAGCATGTTTTACTTCAACTTCAAGTTCTACAGAAAACAGACATTGCTACATTTTATCCCATGTTAGGTTGTGCTCCGCTTTTCCCTACACCGAATAAAACATGTAGCATGAGATAAATTGCAATTCAAACTAAACTCTTTCAACATGCTAATGAATCATTAAAAACACCTCAGGTCAGATTTTACGAAGGCAATATGCTTCATACATTTGCAACACTGCAAAATAACACAAAACTGAAATGTGCTCATCAAAAGAAAACAATTAGTAACGATTTACTCACGTGTAACACTTGTCTCCTCCATCCTGATTCAGAGCAGAGGTCGATGTGCCACTTTTGTAACAGCGGTGTCTCTTAAGCCCAGATTTTCCCTGGAAGCTCTTACCACATGTCTGGCAGCTATAATGGGTGACTCCCCTGGCATGGACCTTTTGATGGTTGTAGAGGATACTAGAAAGCCGGAAAGCTTTTCCACAGGTTGGACAGACATATTTTTTTTTCTGTGTGTGGATGCGAGTATGATTACGCAGTGCCATGGGATTGGAAAAAGGCTTGGCACAGAAAGAGCAGGTAAAATGTCCAGTTTTATGTGTGTTTTTATGGTTCAGCAGACTGCCTGCATGACGATAGCTTCGTCCACAAATGTTGCATTTGAATGGTCGCTCTTCTTTTACTACAGGTGCACTGTCATTGCTGCTTTGTTCAGTGGCAGAATTAGAGCCAGGCTGGTTGCTACAGATGTGGCTTGCAAGTTGGTCAGCAGTGGGAAAAACCAAGCTACAATCCTTGCATGTTAAAGCCTTTGCTCGTCTGCGACCCCTACTCTTTCCTCTCACCACTGCAGCTGCATTCTTGCGGTTGTGTGAACAAGTGTGGTTCAGTAACTGTTTCTTTCCTCTGAATGCCTTGCCACAATCCTGGCAACAGTGCTTTTTAACTGAGAAGTGAATACGTAAATGATTCTTCATTGCCAGCTGGTTGGAGTAGGTATTGTTGCATACAGCACAGTAATATTCACCTGTCTTGTGCGAGTTTTTGTGGTTCACCAGACTTCCAGCGTGCCGATAGCTTCGCCCACACTGATCACAGACAAAGGGCCGTGGGTCACTGGGATCCCCTGACTGGCCATCCTTTTCGGGGCTGGACTGGTCACTAACAGGAGTGTCTTTTTGCTTACGGCGACGACTGCTCCTTTTTCTGTTGATACCAAGCGGCTGCACTCCACTCACAGAGACATTGCCACTCATCTGCATGAGCGTCTGGATCTGTTTGTTGAGTTCCTCAATCTTGGCCTTGTTTTCCTGATGAACTCTCTGGTGGTTCAACAGTTGTTTATGGATTTTGAAAGCTTTCCCACATTCTGTGCAACTGTGCCTGGTGGAGGGAAAAGAATTTTTAAAGAATTGAGTTACAAAATGTATACTGTGGACAAAATCTGAATGGCAACAGTTAAGTACAAGAGCAATATCAACTTCTGAAACAACTATACTGAATGAAGATTACATAAATTTCACTTACTTCTTAACATCAAAGTGTGTTCTCTGGTGGTTCTTAAGAGCCAGCAAATTGTAAAAGCGCTTCTGGCAAACAAAGCAGCGGAACACCCCTGTTTTGTGCGACTTCTTGTGATTTAGGAGCGAGCCAGCGTGTCTGTATGAACGTCCACACTGCTCACATCGGTACTGCCTGTCTCCACTGCTTGGACTCTCTTGGAAATATCCGACTTCTTGTCCATGAACACTGCCAATATCTGGTTTTTCATCATGCTGTTCGAGTTCTTCAGTTCTTTGTCCAGTACAGTTGTGGCTCTCAAGCTGATGAACACTGGCAGAGACCACTCCACACTTTCCACAGATAATGCTGTCTGTTTCTTCTTTAGGTTTGACTTGATTCTGGTTCTCTGTAACATACTGTTCTTGTTGCCCAACCAATGTATTGCTATGCAGGAGCTGGTGGGCTAGTAGGTCCTGTTTTTTTAAGAAGCTTTCTCCACAAGTGCTACAAATAATCAGACTACAGTCACCTTGTTGGATCTCACTTGGTTCATCATCTTTTTCTGCTTCAAGGGAGGACATAGAGGAGGGGCCAGATGTTGATGGGGTGCCATGGGTTTGAGTGTGACCACGAAGGTGGCTCCTCAGTGCCCGCATGCTGGTGTAGTGATTCCCACACACAGAACACTGATACATCTCTCCATCATCTTCCTCCTCATCTCCATCATCTTCACAGTGTCCCTTATTTTCATGGTCACTTACTATCTGGCCATGCATAGTGTCATGAAAGTTCTGTCCTGCAAAGTATGTCCCAGTTGTGCTGCCATTCTGTCCTTCAAAACTGATGCACTCCCCTGGATCTCCTAAAGGCTGCTGATGATTTTCAGTCTTATAGTCCAAGTGACCATCCAAGCCATTTGACAGGGACTGATACTGCTGATTCAAAAGGGGACACACATGTGACTTGATCCCTGCAATATCAGAAAAAGTATTTCCACAGTCTGCACACATGTGCCTCTCCATGAGGGCTTCACCCTGAGGTAGGTGCATTTGTCTGTCCTCAGAGAAGGGACTGTTAAACTGTTCCTGGAATTCTGTGCCATCAAGCTCCCCATCAGAGTCCATTCCCACTGAGTCTCCGAGATCCTGAGGGAGGCCTAGAATACCATCTACATCACCTTCATGAGAAGGAAAGCCACCATGCTGATTTTCATGTGTCAGAGGCTCAGAGGAAAGCCAGTCACCTTCGGCAGTGGCTGTTATAGAAGAAGGCCTTCCCTTATGAATGCGAAGGTGGCTGCGCAGGGCAGCCAGATGAGGGTAGTTTTTACGGCAAATCGAACACTGGAAAATACCTGTCTGATGGGAGCGTTTGTGGTTAATGAGACTACCTGCATGTCTGTAGCTCTTGCCACAAATGTGGCATTTAAAACGGCGGTCAGAGCTAACAGATTCATCTTGCTTACCATCATCAATAGCTTGCTCTGATAGTTCAGGGTTGAGGTTTTCTGATGGCAGGGGCAGAGACTCTCCCTGAGTGTCTACAACACTTGAGTTGTCACCTATAGGGTGAGGTACAAATATATGACCATTTTCCATTGGCCCCTGGGTTTGGTCATAATCATCAGCTTTGTCAAGTAATGGAGGCAATGGTGGAGTGTCACTGGAGGATGGATACAGATTAGGTTCAGGAGACTGAGTAATACTATTGTTATATGAAAAACTATGGTCTTCTGGTATGCTGGTAGGGAGCTCAAAGGACACTGAAGAAGAGTTATGCAACATAACATGATTTTGAAACTCATCATCTGTAGCAAATGCTACCTGACAAAGGTGACAGAAATGGACATTTGTGGCCCCATTTTGCAACACATTTGACACCTGCTCTGACTTAGGGTTTTGATATTGTGCCTCAGGGGTCACTTGGGTAACTGTGCTGGGTCGACCCTTGATTTTATAGTGGATTCGCTGGTGGCTGTTGAGAGCAGCCAGGTTGTTGAACTGTTTGAAACAGACTGTACAGTCAAATATTCCCATCTGATGACTTTTCTTGTGATTTATTAAACTTCCATGATGTCTGTATGTCTTCTCACACATATCACATTTATATGGCCGGTCCTCATTATCACCATTGGCAAAGGCGTCACTTTCAGGGGCAGAACTTGGAATGAGCTCTGACATCAGACCATTGCTAAAACTATTTTCAGGAGCAACATCTAACCCTATATCTGGCGACAGATCTGACACTATACTGAAATCCTGCTCACCTACTTGCTGCAGTTGGTCATCTTCACAAATACTTTCAGCCTGATTGTGTGTCAAGTCATTGCTCTTGGTCCTTCCCCTTAACTCCTGATTGCGATGGACCTTTTGGTGAGTAGCCAGCTGAGTTGCCAATCGAAAGGCTTTCCCACACTCCATGCAAGAATATTTCTTACGTGATGTGTGAATGCGCAAATGACTTTTGAGGGCTAATGCATTAGAGAGCTTCCGGGTACATATGTGACACTGGAAGGTTCCGACCTCATGTGTTTTCTTGTGGTTCGCCAAGCTGCCAGCATGCCTGTATCCCCGCCCACATTCATCACATTTAAACTTCCGATCGCTCTCAGATTGGTGACAAGCTTCTGTGTGCTCCAAAAAACTGGACATGTTTGAACATACTATGCCACAATTCTTGCATAAAAAGCCTTTGGTCCTGCTTGGCTCTTGGATGTCCATAATGGTATAACCAAATAATGCAAAATATTAATAAGAGCCAGCTTGAGTAGGATTAAAGAGAGCACCTTTTTCAAAGGTGAGTTCTTTGCCCTCACTTTCATCAAGATGCTGTTGTAAGCAAAGTCCATCTGCAAAAGCCACATTTACAAAAGAAGTAAATACATTCTCTTCCATGCCACTGAAAATCAGATAACTGGGCTCACAAGGGGGCAATCGCTGGATGTCTGCTGTAGAGAGAGAGAAAGAGGGAGGGAAATTAAAAAGTTTGTACAGTGCCACTTACATGAAGCATTCAGATAATATTTATAAATATTAAAAGACTAATAACATTCGGGTGACAAGCGTTGACAATGGGTTAAATGCGTTTCTATTTGCGGAGTGATTGTTCGATGCTAGCCAAAATAACAAATTATTAACGTGAAATGATTTATTAATACATTGTTTAATTATTACAAAATAGATTGTGTTCAAGGTCGCGAGTAAAGCACACGCAAGGATAAACTTCTGATGAGAAAATAAACAGACTATTAGCGTTAACTAACCAGCGGAGCGATGGGACTGGCAAAACGATTCTTACCAGATCTCTTCCAAATCTAAATTCTTAAGAATAGCAAAATATTCTTTTAATATATCAGTTACGACCCTGAAACGTGGGTTTTACTGCAGATTTCACTGTATGGTTTGATTGTAAGAGACGGTAATTTGGAGTAAGCTGGCTAGCTAGCAAGCCCGCTAGGCTAACACAATGGACGTCTATTTACACAGTAAACAATTCCCTTGCATGCCAACTTAGATAGCTAGGTTAGCTAGACAAACATAACCTTGTCAGTAAGCTGCTTAGCGTTAAATTACCTAATTGCCACTCTTTAATTTACAGGGATGGACTATATCCCAAAAACAGGTACATTAACTTACATTTATTTGACGGTGTGTTGGCATAAAGCCCCGAGAGTTCAAGTTTAAGCATCCAGACGCGTTAGCGCAACGAATGAAACCAGTTAGCTTGCTAGCCGGTTAGCATTTCGAGCCTTAGCTGACAGTAGCGCTACAAAACAGTGTCTACTTGTTGGCTAAAACTGTGGTAAATAGTTCATACTTATGTTACATACTCTTTCAGATACTGTGTTATATCCATCTGATTTTGCACGGAGTGCATTTTCTTCTCACCACCAATTGTCTTTTTCCATTCTCCCCCTCCAACACACCACTTCCTGCGAGGGTGAAGGTGGCTTCCTATTCGCCAGCCTCTTATTCGAATTTCCCAGTCCACCTTAAACAGTGCAGCAGTTACACTCTGTCGCCTCAATTACGTCCTGAGGCGCCAGTATGTAACTGCTGCACCATTTAAGGTGGAACGGAAAATTCGACTGAGAAGCTAACTTCTGCTTCGTTCACTTCCTGCTGCCGTTGCTTAGAAACAGGAAATGTGCAGCAGTGAGAAAGATCCGACGGCGGGAGTTTTATTTTGATGTTTACAATAATTTAATCTAATTAATTTAGTCGATAAGTCAAATCACAGTAAAGCGATGCAGCTCAGGCATAGACAAGCGACTGGCTGTATTACAGTCTGAGGTTGAACACTTTGTTTATGCTTGCAGTCGAGGGCTGTGAGCAGCAAGACTCTTTTTTTTTTTCTCCTCCCACGGCAACACTAGCTAACGTATCTCCTTTTAGCTCGCTGGCTATCGCCGTCTACTGTGCACATACCATGAATGCCAGACTTAGGTATTGCATTTGAGGCTTCTCATCGAAGAAAATGTCTCACGAACATTAACTCTACGGCGTCGTGGACCCGCGGAAGTGCTGCAGCCAGCTTCATGGCAACTTGAGTTGGAAAATAATATCCTTTCGTCATGGTCCTAAAGCCGTCCCCGTCTTAACGCATCTGCGACCACTTCACTTCAAATGCAAACTGTGCTGTTGGACCGCGCAGGAGACACCGCGACCAGATCCTAACTGTGGGGTTACTGGTAAGAAGTACGTAAGTTGGTCAGCTCGCACAGAAACTTGCAGCAACTTTGATCGAGCTAAGCTCCGTACAGTGACAGAGATGTGCAGCTACATAGCCTCGCTTGTTCAGCGGTCCTAAAGCCAGCCATTTTGTGTTATGTTAGCTAGTAATGTAACAGTTTTGGCAGTTTTATGTGGGTTTCAACGCCTGGTTATTTAGTAGCTTAAATAGTTGTTGCATTACATGGTTAACACATATCTACTCGGTTATTCTAAAGACAGCACCGCACAGCAAAGCCAACTGATTCAGGCTGGATGCTAACGTTAGCTAACTTCCTTTCAACGACGAGCCTTTTGCCTAATTGTCCCTGAGGTCCTAATGCCGGCCATTTTGTGTTGGGCTGTATTCTTTCTACGTTATCTGGCCACTTTAGTAACTTCAGTTAACAAGTACAACGATCATCAGCTCCACTTAACATATAGGTGTACTTTGTAGTTCTACAATTACAGATTGTAGTCCAGCAGTTTCTCTGTATGCATTGTTAGCCTCCCTGCTGCTGGAGTTTTTAAACACTGTGTCAACTCACTTTCCACTCTAACTTACGTACCTTGTTAGTCCACCTTGTAGATGTAAAGTCAGAGACAGTAGCTCATCTGTTTCTGCAAAGTTTGTGTTGGTCATCCTCTAGTGCTTCATCAGTGGTCACAGGATGCTGTTGGCTGACTATTCTCAGTCCAGCAGTGACACTGAGGTGTTTAAAAACTGAAGCAGCACTGTTGTGTCTGAAGCAGCAAAACACACATTAACACACCACCACCACGTCAGTGTCACTGTGGTGCTGAGAATGATCCACGACCCAAACACCTGCTCTGTGGTGGTCCTGTGGAGGTCCTGACCCTTGAAGAACAGGGTGAAAGAAGGCTAACAAAGAATGCAGAGAAGCAGATGAACTAAAGTCTTTAAATGTAGAACTGTGCACCTACATGATAAGTGGAGCTGATAAAATGGGCAATGAGTGTAGAAACAAGGAGGTGGTATAAATGATATAGCTGATCAGTGTATTTTCAGTGCAAGAAAGAAACATAATTAGAATACAAACTCTGAGACATCCTGTAACACAGCCTTATTATTTTCAGCAGAAAAATGGCTTCCCCTCAGCCAGGCAGCCCACCTACAGAAGAGCAGGATACCCCTCCACCTCCTGAGACCAATGAAGAGAAAGAGGATACAGCAGAGCAACCACCTCGAAGAAGAGGCAAAGGGAGAGCAACAAAGTCTCAGCACACTTTTAAATGCTCAGCCTGTCAGGAAGCATTTTTCAGCCCCTCAACTCTACGCAGCCATAAGCTCTTAGCTCATGGTAAGGAGAAGCAGCAACCGTACGTCTGCGGACAGTGCAGTAAGACTTTCTCAAACCGTGCCCAGCTCTCTAAGCATCAGCGCTCCCATTCTGCTCAGCGTCCGTTTCAGTGCTCCCAGTGTCATAAAGCATACAAGACTCCAACTGAGCTGCGCAACCACAGCCGCTCCCACACCGGAGAGAAACCCTTTGTCTGTACTGAGTGTGGCAAGGCATTCATGCAAGCCATCTGTCTGCGCATTCACATGACACAACACAGCGGTGAGCGGCCTCATTCTTGCCCACACTGCTCCAAGAGCTATCCAACACTGTCCAAGCTGAAAGTTCACCAGCGGTCACACACAGGAGAGAAGCCCTACTTTTGTGCAGAATGCGGGAAGAGTTTCGCTGATCCCTCAGTGTACCGCAAGCATCGGCGCAATCACCAAGGACATCGCCCTTATTCCTGCGACCAGTGTGGGAAAACTTACACAGAGCTGAAGGATCTGAAGAACCACGAGCGTTCGCATACGGGAGAGAAGCCATACCTTTGCTCGGACTGTGGCAAGGCCTTCTCACGCTCTTCCTCACTGGCGTGCCACTTGCGAATTCACTCTCAAAGCAAACCCTACCAGTGTGAGCAGTGCGGCAAAGGCTTCACTCAACTCTCCTCCTACCAGTCTCACCTTCGAACACACTCTGGAGAGAAGCCCTTTCTCTGTCCGCAGTGTGGTAAGATGTTCTCAGACCCTTCCAGTTTTCGCCGGCACCAGAGAGCACATCAGGGGTTCAAGCCTTACCCCTGCGACAAGTGCAACAAGAGATTTCGGCAGCCAGCTGACCTGGCGGTGCATCAGCGCGTGCATTCGGGTCAGAGGCCGTATAAGTGCCAAAACTGTGACAAGGCCTTTGTCGCTTCTTGGGACCTACGCCGGCACATGCTGGTGCACACTGGACTGCGACCTTTCTCTTGCACCGAATGCGGCAAGTCGTTCGCAGAGCGCTCTAGCCTCAACAAGCACCGGAGGGTGCATTCCGGAGAGCGCCCTTTCAAATGCCAGATGTGCTTTAAGTCCTTTGTCGTGTCATCCAGCCTGCGCAAGCACGAGAGGACACACTTGGCGGAGAGACCCCTTCAGCAGCAGGACCCAGTGCCTGAATCTGCGCAAATCTTCTCTCAGAACACCAGCCCGCAGTTTTCCTGCACTCACTGTGATGTGATGTTTGGGACGTGGGAGGAGGTGCAAGCCCATGCCAGCCTTCATTCAATTTCTCCACCGTCCGATTCCACTGCCACATCTCTCAATATAGGCCCATATGTTTGTGTGACCTGCCAGGTTGAGTTCACTCAGCTGTCCGCTCTTCAAGCACATGAGAAGATGCACCCTAAGCCACGACCCCATGTCTGCGATGACTGTGGCAAAGGTTTCCTGAACAAAGCCGGATTACGAAAACATCAGCGCATTCACTCCACCAGTCGCCCTCACTGCTGCACTATCTGTGGCAAGGCTTTTCTTTTCGCTGCGTACCTTCGGAAACATTCACGCACCCACCGTGACAGTGAGTCCTCATCGGCTCTGCCACAGACGGACATAGCGCACACCCAGCCTCTTCCGTCCCCGCCCAGTGCAGCCTCCCCAACGGGCTCAGAGCCCCCCTCCATTTCTCTGACTGTACCTGTTACTGTACCGGTGTCTGCATTCCAGACAATGTCAGCTCATGTGTATATAGACAAGGAAGAGGAGTTGTGAAATTGTTGTCAGCATAGTGGCCTTAATTGTTTGAACTGTGCTTTCACAAAAAATCCTTCGATAAGGATGCAGTTCTGTCCAAAAAGGCAGCAAACACACACACACAGATTTGTGTGACTTGTTACAGCCGATTTTCCTCACAAAATCAATCTGTTTTTGTATAATAGCTTTACATTAATGGTCATGTTTGTATACTAACACTTACAGTAATATTAGTGATTTAATCTTAGTCAAACTATTCATTATTTATATGAATTAAGTTGAATACATGAACTCTGTGTAAGTATGTACTGTTGCTTCTCTTTTGAATTACCCACCAGTATTACATTTGGTGACTTAAAGAAGAAAGAAAAGCCACATTTCTTAATAAAAAAGTAATTATTGATATGGTTTTTAATCTGACATTTCTCATTCACATCATGTTTTAGAGGTTATCACAAAGGTCTCCTTTGGCCAGTGTGCCCATTCCATCTTCCCACCTACAAGTCCATATTTTGCATAAGGGAGATGAGAAGATTGACCTACTGTTGGGTTGTAGCCACTACCTGCACGTCAGTTCATCATTGACTGGTCAAATATGAGTGTATTATAATTAATCTATAATCAGTCTATAATCACAAATAAAGCTGCTCATTGGATGAGTCAATCTTTATTTTTTCCTTTTTTACAGTTTTCTTTATTTTTGCTTAGTTGTTATTATTGTTGTTGTTATTATTATTATTATTATTATTATTATTGTTTATAAGATTCCCATTCACAAAAGTAATAATTAGCAAGGTCTTAATATGCCTTAAATTACACTAACATTCAAAAGTTTGGAATCACAATTCAGAAGTTTTGGGTCAGTGTTTTTAATAAACAAATAAAATGTTGTATAAAAATTATGAAACGTTTATGATGCTGTGCTAAAGGTAATTTTACATGTGACCGGAATGATAAACGGAGCTGTAGATGTTTTCATAATGATTGAGAAAGCTGTAAAACATTGAGAATTTTTAATTCAAATAATTCGTTTTAATTAAATGAATGGCCATAATGCCTCGGATTTGAAATGTGGTGGTGAAATCTCCAGCAAATAACTTTATTTATCTATATATATATATAATTAGATTTATCGCCTAATGTATTCTTGTTGTTTAAAGTCAGGGCTTTATTGTCGTTCAGTCCCACCACAATGTGTTGAGTGAGGAATGAAACGTAGTTTCTTCGGGGCATGGAGGTCCTTTTAACACAAAACAGCAGCAGACAACAGTACAAATAAACAATAAATGCAGCAAATACTGACTATTCTATACAGAACACTATAAAATAAACTGTACTATACAATATACAACAAAACACAACCATTAAACATGGGACAGTAGAGACTACACACTTACTAGAAGATAGTTCTTCAAGGGTTCTTTAGTAAAGGAAATTTGTTCTATATAGAACCTTTTTTTCATGCATATTGGTTGTTTGCATGGTGAAATGGTTCTTCAGTGTGTTGGAAAGTGTGTTGTATATTAGCACCAAAAGGGCTCTGCTGTTGTTAAAAGCTTGACATTGTAACAAAAGAAGAAGCCTTTTTGGTGCTATATAGAACTAGGTTCTACATAGAACCATATATAATACAGTCCCCATCAATCTGAAGAACCATTTCACCATCCAAAGAACCAGCTAAGAATGAAATAGCTCTATATAGAATTCATGCTTCTAAATAGAACCATTGTCATAACTAAAGATCCCTTGAAGGACCATCTCTTTAAAGTGTGCAGAGAGTGCACAGTGGGATGAAAAAATCTAGAGAAAAAGAGACTCAGTCCACAGCACCAATGACATTTGTGCTTGTATTATCATCAGTGCATGCTGGTAATTAGCAACAGTGTGTAACAGGACAACCATAAAGATTGTCAAAACTGCAGTGTGTACAGTATATACAGTATATGAGTGTTCCCAAAAACTTTAAAAACATCTTAAAATACTTTGTGATATTTAACTTTTTTAAGTTTTTCAATCTTCACTGTATAAGTTTAAGTTGAATAAAACAACAATTATTTAAAAAAATGTGATTCCAAACTTCTGAATGCTCCTGTAAGCTAATTTTAAACACGTGACCTACAATGTGTGAGCAGTGAGAGAAACACAAATTTTGATGATGTTAGCAGTTCAGCTCTTTATATGCTGCGTGGCTTGACATAGCAGAATTGTCAGTTTTGCTGAAACACAAGAAGACGGTGCATTTGTGCCCACTGGACATTTATCCATAAGTAAGTTTATTAGGTTTAAATTAAGTGTGTTTGTGTTTTACAGTATTAAATATTGTTGCACCAGCAAGTGTGTTTGTGTGTTACATCTTAGAATTTAAAGAAATAACACAAATTAGAACCTTAAAAAAGTGGAAATAAACACAGTCTGAAGAAAAAAGGAATGACCATGAGCATACTGATCAATAAACTTCATTTAATCTTTCATTTAAATTGTATTTTTAAAGTAATCATAATATTGCAAAGCCTGTGAACTAAAAATGATCCATCATTTGTGAACATACAAATATTGCTTTGCACTCTAACGCAGGAGAACATTTTTGAAGGAGTGATGGCAGCTATAGTTACTGGACTTATCCCAATCCTGCGCACTGCAGTGGACACCAGCACCACTTACAAAGGGCGCGCTGTTTGGTTCGGCTTCCTCTGTGTTCGCCTCGTGACCCTTTTTGTGGCTGAAATGCCCTGGTTCAAGTTGGACTCGGATTTTAGCTGCAACTCCACCAAGGATGTGTGCACTAAAGCCTGCTTTAATAGACATTTTGACAAGCCTGCTGTGATGGCCTGGAACTTTCTCTTCATCTTACTGGTCATCTCAGTCATCATCATGGAGCTGTTCACAGCCCATGTTCGATCTGTTTTACAGAAGAAGGTTGTGAGAGAGAGGAAGGGGGTAGAGGTGGAGTCCCTCGGAGAGCTGAAAAGTACAAGTAATCTTGCGGCTAACTCAGGAGCGTTGATGATCCTTGACATGCATGGAAGCATACACGCAGTGCTCTGCTATCTTTTCAGCATGATACTGCGAATTGTGGTGGAGGGCTGCTTCGTTTATGTTTTGCTCAATTGGAACCTGCCTAAACTGAGCCAAACCTCTTTCCTGTGTAATGTCATAGACCATGGATGTGCAGAGCAGCAATGTGTAGTGAGGGCCACAGCAGAAAAGCGCATGTCTATCTATGCTCTAGCATCCATTTCTATCCTGGTTATCATTATCAGTTGTCTGTTTTGCCTTTACTTCATTTTCCACTACATCTGTAACTGCTGTACCCGAAGTTCGAATGATGTGTAAAATGAGCTTTAGTGCTTCTGAAAAAAGTGTGGGCTTTTTGTTTATTGCTTATTCTTCTTTTACTACACAGGGAGCATCAATGCAGTGTTATTGTTGTGTTAAATCTTTTGCATCACCCTTTTAAAAGAAATTCTTTGAGGCAAGTGTATACAGTTGTATGATAAATTGCACATTACTGTTTATTTGCTGAATGTAACAAAAATAAATAAAATGTGGCCTTTGAAATGTGTATCTGCCCTGTGATGGACTGGCGGCCTGTCCAGGGTGTTTACTGCCTTCCACCCAAAGAGTGCTGGGATAGGCTCCAGCACCCCCCCGCAACCCAGGAGGATAAGCGGCTTAGAAAATGAATGAATGAACAAATGAATGAATGAATGTGGCTTTTGCAAAAGTTGTAGTGTATTTCAATTTTTTGTTTCATTATTATTATTATTATTATTATTATTATTATTACAATATGATAAACACAGCAAACAAATAGAAACTGTGCACTAAATCCGCAGAACAATGCCATATTTAACTTTGTTCCATGTAGATGTGTTAACTTATTTTCACATAGAAAATCAACAAAACATAATTTGGGCAAAGGTGTTTAAACTTTTGCACATGGCTGTATATCGAAGAAACTGAACCATGGTATCATTACTATAATTGTAAGATACACTCTAAACAGTGGTGTTAAATAACAACACACCTACCTGTTTTTGACACATTTTTGTGCCATTTTTAACACACAATGCAAAAACAATATCTGCAAAATGTTCCCTAAAGAAGATTATTTTCACTTAGAAAATCAACAAAACATGTCATTTGACTGGGGGAAAGTCAAACATTTGCATACAAAACAGTTCTTTCTGTGGTTACATTGTTCTTAGTTCTTGTACCATGACTAAGCACCTGCTGTATATGGCTTTTTAAATGGTTCTATACAAGGGAAATAACTTTTTTGCTATGAATGTAGCAGAATGCTGGACAAACAGAAACAGTGCTGATTTTGCTTTGTAAAACTGTTAACATTTGTGCCATTAAAGTCAGTTTGTCAGTGTGATCCATGTTTGGCTTTGCGCTTCTTCTGGTGTTTCTGAGTCAAGCAGTTTTGTGTGTTATGGTAAAGGTGTAAAGTCATGTGTGTGTGCATGTACAGTCAACCATGGCCCTTTCAAACAAATGTCTTTAAATAGGCTAAACAATGCCATTATACTCCTTTTACAGGCATGCATTTTATTTATATTTTTTAATTTCATAATTAATTCACACATTTAGTCAGTACTAAATGTTTTGCCAGTCATTCATTTGCTAAAGATCACAAGCAACAGTGCTAATTATAAATAATGATGGAGGTGATTTAGCTAATTGAGCTTACTCTCTGCATTGTCTGCCAGTATAGAGAGGTCAGTTGCAGAGGTCTTTGTCACAGCATTTTCTGCCCACCAGAGGATGCTCTTCCGCCTCACATTCACTTCTGCTGCCACATCTGCGTATTTCGCCGTCTAAAAGGCCAATTACAAGAATGGGATCATTAATGAACACATGGGAAGCTTCAGACACTATTTAGTAGAATAGTTAACAAAAAAACATCTATATTAACTTGTTTTTAAAGCTTTTAAGCAATGGTTAATCTAACCCTTAAAGATTAGGCTACATAGTCATATGTCAGTTTATGACAGACCATATAATGCCACTTTTGTTCATTTTGCTTTTGCCATTTCAAATGTTCTGGTTAACGTACATGCTGGCTCACGCAGTGTGAGCGTGATGCAGTAATTCAGCCCCATAGTGCACTCTCTTTCCTCAAGTTCTTCACAGGTAGGATGGACCTTGATACTCTTGCAGTGGTTACACTTCAGGCCCTGGGCAACTGTTATGACCAAAGGTTGAAGATTATTTTCATTATTTTCATTAAGTTCATTCTCTTTATACCTATATGAGTGTACAATATAACAAATCAGGTCCAGGCTATTATCAGGTACATAAAACAATCACAGAAAATATTTCCAATTTACATTATCAAAGCCATACAGAATTATATAATATTTACAATGAAATAGGGCTGGGAAATATAGCAATGTTTATTGTTATTGTGATACATAACGTTAAATTATGTCACAACAAGCTTTTCAGAGCATATAAGGAATATCATCACTATGTAAAAAAAGTTTCCACAAACATGTTTGATTATAAAGAGAGCAGAATTGGTTCCGTTTATTTTGATTTAGTGCAGCACAGTATGTGAAATGTTAAATACAAATAATTGGATTCATAGTATTTGAAAATATTTTTTCAAATGTGGCACTACTTTATGTAGTCCAGCTTATCATTTGTCAGAAAACATAAATATTGTGATTTACTGTGTATTGTAAAAACATCTTGAAGTATTGTGGTATTACTTTTTGACATATCTCCCAGCTCTATACTGAATAATAAAGAAACACCATGTACATATATATGTATATATATATATATATATATATATATATATATATATATATATAGTCAATTAGCTCAGAGTAAAAAGTCAAATATTGTTTCACATGGTAATGAAAAAACTTTTGCCTAAAGAGTACAGAGTACATACCAAATAAGCAATAAGTCTGAAAATGCCTTTGTGAACTCACCGCAGATAAGAGCAACAAGCACAGTCAGGATTAGCACTTGACGTCCCATCTTTCAGTTGTAATAATGATTGGGTAGGAGATGAAAGCTAAAGGCTAAAGAACCAAATTATTATAATACTTTGGTGAAGTGGCAAAATTTGAAATATGTTATAATAAATCTAAGCATATTTACCTCCTCAGTCCAGACAGTTTTGCTAGGGAGTGTTTGAAAACTAAGCCTAAACATGGGTGTTTTTATACGACACTTGATGACTGGAGTGCTGCAACAGTTGGGGTCTACTCACGAGTATCACATATCCCCTATGGCCATCCTCACTTCCATGGGGCACAATAGGCATAAATCAAAACATTAGATAATAGGCAACATAAAAATCACTGGTTTGGTCAATGACTTCCACTCAGCTTATGAGTACGTTTTATCTTAAGGTATGTTAGGTGTATATATCGTTGCTGTTCAAACAAACAAGACAAACAAGTCTCTCCAAAATATTAACTTTACAGGAGAAGGCAAAAATGTTTTTAAAAGTTTTAATGCAAGTCAATCTAAAAAGAAGTTTTTGGAACATTTGTACTCATCAGTTTATCATAAATTTATTATACACTGTAAAGGACAGTTCAAATGGTGTACAAAAATAAAAATCAGAAAAAAATAGAGAAATTCTATTTTTATTTATGGACAGTGACAATATGGTCCATGGAGAAGATTTACCAGCTGCAAACATTTGATTCACTGACTTATCTTTGCCCTGTCTAGGCTGCATTACTATCATTAAAAGATAAAACCTTACATTAAACAAGATAAAGATTTTTGTAAAGGAGTATCAGTGCGTCACCACAAGATCGAGGTCACCTTTTGTGTACATCTAACAATAGAGAAACATTATGCTGGTGAAATATTATACACCTCTTTTTTGTCTTCTATCCGGAGGAGAGGCAGCACAGGCAGGAGAATGAAGATGCGTAACAGAAATCACATGCCATCAACATATCAGGCCTAAAGGACTGTTGGAAGGGTTGGGGGGGATTTCCAATATGAATTTCAGAACAAAAAACCCATACAGTAGCATTCATATAACCACACAACAGTCTGTTCATTATAATCATAATTTATTTACATCAAAAAGTAGGTTACCATAAGCTATGAGCTATAAAAAGCCTTAAGTAATATACAGAAATCCATAATGTTGTAATATAACTGCCAGTGTGTATTGCAGAATTCTTTGCTGATGTTCTTCTCCTTTCTGTAGCGGTTTAACGGTACATCGTTAAGGTGTAATCCACAGAAGCCTGTCTATACAGACACATCGAAAGGATCGAACCACTTATCTGTGGAGACAGACAGCAATACTCATTTAAAGTGCTGTTAACTGAATTTCTCATTGATTCTTAAGGCATTCACATATCAAGGCCATAGAGTAGACCACAGGGAAGCAAATCAATTACCGAAACAGCACAAGCACATAGCAAACACACAGCAAGTTCAGAACCCAATGCTAACCACACCACCAGCATAAGCAAAATACCTTGCCAATACTCCACATTGAAATCTCTGTTTTGGGAAGATTTGGGAGACATAATAATTGTTAATATGTGGAGGCATCCAAACACGAAAACTATATATAATTCAGAACTTCCAAAATTAAAGCCAAACTCTAGTATCTGATGATGCAGCCTGACTTGTTGAGAATCGTTCTACCTGTGCTATTATTTGTGATAACAGTACACTTTTTTCACAATAACTGTATCATTACACTAAGTAATGACGTCTTTGTAGTTAACCAAGTTTTTACTTTAGTATATATATATATATAAAAACACTGAAAGAACACTTCAGGTAACTTCTATTAGTTAACCCCTTACATGGCCAGGGCCCAGTGACAGGCCTAAAGTTTTATTACACACTTCTATAACTTAAGAATAGCTCAGCCAGATTGCATTGGAGTCCCTGTAGTTACTGAATAATGTAATAAGCCTGGAATTTTAAGGGGATTAATATTTGACCTGCAGCCCATTTCTTCAGATTCTGAACTGCATCAAACTCCCCATCTGCCATTGCTCCTAATTAAGCTTTTTAGTTGGCAGCTGTGACGCCAGAACAACTAAACAAGCTGGAATTTGCCAGATTTGAATAGAATACAATTCAGCAAAAAAAATGGGCTGTGAAATGCTTTACACTGACTGGAGCCAAATGACATTCAGGTTAATCTGGCAAGCACTGAAAAAGCTGAGCTGAACCTGATATTGGGAAAGTTTTATGGAAGCAAAACGGCTACTACATTTTTGGTGGAAGGAGTGCTAGTATTAGAGCACATTCGAAACAATGATCAGGGATTCTTCATTTTGAAGAACTTTTGAATAAAAGCAATAGAACACTCGAGTTGTGTGTTCACCCTAACATCAAACCTGTGATGGTCTTCAAACAAATGTGTTACAAACAACACAATTTGTCCTTCGTCTATTGATGAGTTCAGTTTAACATGTTTTCTGTTACTTTTAACAAAGAATATGTTAAGATATTTCTGTCCAGTTAGGGATTAAAACATTTTGTTTTACACAAAAATGTGTTAAAATTGGTAACACAGGGTAGGTATATTGTTATTTAACACGTCACTTTTTAGTATGCATCTTCAATTATGCTAATGATAGCATGGTTTCGTTTCGATATACAGTCATATGCAAAAGTTTTAACATTGGCAGTCAAGTTACAAATGTAAAAAATTAAGTTTTGTCAATGTAAGTGAAAATTAGTTAACATATTACCTATAGGGGAGGCATTAATATGGTGTTTTTCTGCTAATTTTTTGTGTACAATTTCTACTTTTTTCTTTTTTGATGTTTTTTAAAGCCCAATTACTGTTTACTTGCTAAAATTTCAAATATTGGAAAAAATTAAACATAAAATATTAAATGTGTCATAACTTTTACACAGGCCAAAATGAATGTTTTTTTCTACATGTTAAATTCAGCAAATAAACATTAATTGTGCATTAAGATGTGCAGAAGTGTGTTCTCTGAAGAGGATTTGTTAACGTATTTTCACTTAGAAAATCAATATAATCTGTCATGTGACAAGGGCCGCCCAAACTTTTACATACAACTCTATCTATTATCACATTATATCATAACTCTATTTCTTACACTGTTTGAAAATACCAGCTGCCCTACATTGTGTGAATAAAATTACTTAGCATTAAATCATTTTACATTGAAATAAACTCAAGTTTTTCTTTTACCTACAAAGCTATCATTCTGGAGCTATAAGGTTTTGTTATGACAGCAACGATATAAAGCAGGGGGATTTAATTCCAGTCCTTGAAGGCTGGTGTCTAGCACAGTTAGGTGATTTTCCTGCTCAAAGACACCTACTGAACCTGACAATCAACAAATGAGTTGGTTATTATAGTTTTCAAATTTTCATTAGTTTTAATTTTTATTTGTTTAGTTTCAGTTAGTCTTAAACATACATTAATATATTTAGTTTTATGTTTATTTGCTGAAAAGTAATAGCTTTAGTTTAGTTTTTATTTAGTTTCAATTTTAGTTTTAGATTTTAGCATTATGATGAACGCTGTGGTGAGAAGGTGTTTGATAGCTTGGCTCCACGTTTCCCTAAACATAGCCAAACACAGAAGCAATCCCCTTCTAAACTTTCATTCACACATGGAAAAAACTAATATTAAAGTTTTTTTTCTCAGTAATTCTATTTCATTCTAGTTAGTTTTGCAGTGGGCATTCTAGTTTTGATTTAGTTTTTATGTTTTTGAAAACTGTCATTTTTATTTTTATTACAGTTGAATTTTCACTGCTTTGGTTTTAGGAATAGTTTTAGTTAACTATAATAACCCTGCCCCTGTTATACAGTTTAATGTGTTCACAAGTTCTTTGGAATTGATGTTATGCTATCATCACACATCTCACACCATGGTATTATTGCTTTGATCTGAAAAACACAGCACCACTCAACAACAAATTCACTCAGACACCTGGAGAGTTGAACATGGCTGCCACGTGGCTTTCTTAGGCGGCAACATCGACAGCTGTGGCTAAGGCAACAGAACGTGACAAGACACACCCATTGGAGACACTACAACACACACAAAGGACAGGGGAAGTTAGCAGTTCTGCATAAAAGCACACACTGCATTTCTGCTATATAATATGTAAGGCTTATTCTGTGCTGCCTTCAGTAACTGCAGTAACATCAATAACAGTAACTTGCAATGATTCTGGACAAAGAAAAGTTCAGCTTTGCAGTGGAAGTATGGTGAAAAAAAGAAAAGACACAACATTTTACTTAACAGTTATTTCTCACCTCTACCACAGCAAGGACAAAAACCACCATGAGAATGATCAGAATATGTGCACTCAACCATTCTTCAACATACTCTTTGCAACCCTATTGAAAAAGAACAAAAAAAGCCATTGAATGCAATAGTTGTATGCAAAAGTTTGAATAATTTTAATAGCTTTTAGCATTTTTAGCTATTTTTAGTGTACAATTTCTATTTATTTGCTTAGTTTAAAATATTGTGAAAATTAACTAAAATATAAAATGTGAGATGTGTAGTAACTGTTGCTCAGGCTGCATTTTAGCCTTCATTTGTTTTCCATTTTGTTACATTCGGCAAATAAACAGTAATGGCGCATTAAAATGTGCACATGTGTTCTCTGTAGAGGATGTCTCAACTTACTTTCACTTAGAAAATCAACAAACCGTCAATCAACCAGGGGCCCAAACTTTCTTGCACAACTATATAAGCAAGTAATTAGAAAAGGCCAAGCAGGTAATATTCCACATTTCGTTTTCAAGTCATGCCACAACCTTGCAAATATAGTACAGCACTGTCCTCTTTGAAAAAAAAAAAGGCATTTTGCAAGCTTGAGCAGTGCAATGAGACTTTGCTTTGTCATGAAATAACACTGCAATGAAATAATAGACCTTCATGAAAAATGTTAAAATCTCTGAAAGTTATTTTTACTTAGAACACTTTATTGACATCAGAGAAGCAAGTTATAACAGCAATGTCATACTGTACCTTTTTATGTTTATCCCATGTGGTGATGTTACAGGTGTGTATATCTGAGTGATCATTATGGTCGGTAATATTAGCTGTGACATTGTTAGGAGAATAACATGAGCAGTGGGCGTCCGGTTTCCAGTCCAATGGTCCTGACCATCCACAGCATTTGGCCTGAATGGAAAAAAATGTTACAAATGTTACGTAACAATTAAGCAGACTTTAGTGGTATTAGGTAGTTTAACTAATTCAGGGAAAGTCTGCAGTTTGTGGCATTGTGTAGGACTCTGTAGTGATTGTGGCCGATACCATACTGATTTTAAGAGGCTAAAAATTCTGATAATTGATAATATTGTTGATATCATTTTATGTTTTAGATTTTAATTATAAACTTAAATTGTTTTAGTTGAACACTGCCATACTGGCTGATATGCCTGTCAGTTGTCAAACGTGAATTGTCAAACATGATCAGTTCTCAATTGGCACATTTCTTTTAAAATTCAAACAGCAGAAACTCATCAAGTTTTCAACCTGTTTTAATTTGTTAATTGATGCCTCTGGTCATAGTCTGTCTGATTCATCATATTATACTATTTTAGTGATAAAATGAATGTTTTCTTCAAATGTTTTCTTCTTTTGCCTGTCGCGAAAAAGTCTTCTGAATTTTGATTGTCACCATGCACCAGTGGACGTGATAATATTATCATAACTAATATCATTATTTAATATTAAATTAATATTAAAGCTGCACTGTGTAAAAATATGCTAAAATGTGGTGCCCGTCTGCTGGGAGTCACCTCATAAAGGGGAAGGGGTCCGAAGCACAAGCGATATTACAAAATGTTCTTCCGCATGCATTTCCACCAGAGAGGTCTGTGTAGCTAGTGTAGCTTTAATCAGTAACATCATGTTTCACTTCCCCATCACTGTCCACCCCACTTCATCAAGGGTAATACACAACTACCTCTGCTACACTCTCTAAGACTGTTTCATTTGTAAATGCGTCACAGTACAAAAAGAAAATAGATTTGATTTCTGAGTGACAGAGCTTAACAGAATTTTCTGAGGTTTCTGAGAATCTCTTATTTTTCTTATTTTTTAACAGTTCTCTTCACAGGATTTTTTCGTAGCTGTTCTAATTTGTTATCCTTATGCTAAAGGTTATGCTTGGATGCATTGTACATTTGTTAATTACACCATGAGTGTGTATTGTATTTTTCAGTGTAGACTGAATTACTTTGATATGTAATATTAGACGAGAAAAAAACAGGGCTTTGCTGCATCATAAGATGAACTGCTACTTACTGGCACTGTATCAGCAGGAATTACTGTTACTGATAAGTCTGAGTAATCTTGACACTGGCTGATATACAGTCATAGGTAAAGGTTTGGGCACCCCTGGTCAAACTGCATGTTTTGTTGATTGTGTATGTGAAAATAAGTTACATACCCTTTACAGGGAACACACTTCTGCACATTATAATACACAGTTACTGTTTATTTGCTGAATGTTTACACATTGGAGAAACCACTACATATAAAAGGTGGCCAGTGCAAAAGTTCTTCTATTATTATATTTCATGTTTTATGTTTTCCAATCTGTTAAATTCAGCACATAAAAAAGAAACTGTGCATTAAAAATGCAGAACAAATGCCATATTTAAGTGTGTAGAGGATGTGTTAACTTATTTTCACTCATTTCAACAAAACATGTTCTTTGACCAGGGATGTTGATACCTTTGCGTAGCCCTGTACGGGTCTGGCCCTAGTACGATGCGGTGACTTTTCTGTTAGTTACCTGTTTTGTGGGTGTGTTTCTCACCTCACGTTGAAGAACCAGTAGAGTTCGTTCAAAATCTCGCAGGTTTGAGTCATTCTTCCCAAAGTCCTGAATAAGTTTTTGAACGTGGCTTTCTAAGGACTTCTCAAACTAGAGAGAAAAAATAAAAATAGGACTTTTGATTAATCTCTTGTCTAGACCACTGGCTTTTTCCAGACTTTAAAATATCAAATCATCTCCACAATATTCTGATTTATAATCAATATTGTAATAAGCCAAACAGACATCAGATACTGCTTTAAGTGTATCATGCACTTTCCCCCCAAAAAGGGAGAAAAACAAACAACAAGATGTAACCAGACCTGGGTGTGACCCTTTCATGCTTTACTTACTACGCTCTTCTGTGTAATGAGGAGCACTCCACCCATTGTCTGAGCCACAAGCAACACAGTGAGCAGGATGAAATACTGCAGATAAACATGAGGCAGTTCAGCAGCAAAACCTCAGCTCAGTGAAGCGCATCAAATTACTGTAATATCACACAAGTTGGGAGTTCAGACCAGGAATACTCAAGCATTTTTCAATCTGAACTTTCCCTGCTGTTTCTGTAGCATACGTAGAATTATTGCAAGCAATAATTTTCATGTGAGAAAGAACAGAAAAAACATTGATTCAAAACATAATTACGATTTGAAGCCAATGGGCAGTTGCTGAGACACATTCTTGTTGACTTCTATTATAAGTGTGCCAATTCAAAAGGTTTTCTGTTCTTTTTGAGCTACAGTGTGTCTGTAGTAATCACCCATATGCTTACAGATGCAGCTGATAGACATTAAGTTAACCCCTTAAAATCTCAGGCTTATTACATACCAAAGTTTATTATTCCTTTAACCTAGTAGGAGTTATAATTATTGCTTACAAACAACATTTAAAGATTCTGATTCGTCTAACAAATCAACTTTGTTGTCAAGAGTTGCTTTAACCAACTGCACAGTTTTAAAAGATCAAACTCTTTCTCTCTTTTCAATACTTGAAAAAAATGATTAATGTCTTACACAGATTATTGTAGGGCTTTAACTAGATGTTAATACATTTTCTTTGGCTTGTCTTCAGTTAGTACAAAACGCAGCTGCTGGGCTGCTTACCAGCACCAAGTATAGTGATCTTATCACTCTGATTTTAGCCTCTCTTCATTGGCTCCCTGTCCATTACAGGAGCAACTAAGGTGCCATTTGTTTTTAAAGCTCTAAATGGGATAGTCCACTTCTCAGTCACTGACCTACTTTGAGGTCACCAGCTCAATTCATTATAGCTGTTGCATGTTTAAGGGTGACCGTGCTTTTGAAGTTGCCGTGTCAAGGCTGTGAAACATCACAGCATTAGGTACCGGTTTCCTGGACATAGACTAAACTGTCATAGACTAAACTGCAGTGCAAATCATTGCTGCTCCCCAAAAAAATGCATCTCCATTTTTTCAGATTTTTTTTTTTCATCGTTTGAGCACAGCAGCTGCCCTTTACATTGTGTCAAAATTTCATGATAGTGAAACAATAGAAATGGACCAAATTGCTCAGTAAAAATATAATTACATTGACTTTAATTGACTTTAACTTTTGATTGTAAAGTTACCATTTTGGAAATGTGGGGGCAGAGACAAATTGGTTGCTTTAGGTGTGCATCCTTTATTACTATTTTGAAATCATGACTTTAAACACTGATTTCTGCGGTAGCATTATTTAAATTAATTCTATTATATCTTACTAAATTTCATTATTATTCTAATTTTTATATCTTTATTTTGGGGAATGTAAATGTGGTAGCCATTGGTCTGTGTCTGGTTTGTCTTTGTTCTTCTATTTTGATGTTTTATTTGTTCTTTATTATTTATAGCACTGTTTTGATTAAGCGTTATAAATCAAATTAATCTATTTGCCAAATCACAAGATTAACATTTTCAGTGATTGTACACAAAATAATCATGATGTAGAACTCACGATTGCCAGCATGCACTTGACCTCCTTCAGAGCACCCAGGCTACCAAAGAAGCCCAGTGATATGGTAACAACACCACTGATGATCAGCAGATAGGAGAAGAGAGACAGGGATATGAAGCGAGGGGCAGGTACTGTGAAGATAGGCATTACATTATTGTATTACATTGTATAGCATTTATATAAATTTCCACATTAAAAGCTACATTTGGTTATATGATACTGTGGCATTGACAGAGAACAGGCAAAATAGTGTATTTAACTAGCAAATATTTAGCATTGGATGAGCTGGTATTATAATACTCACTGAGAACACTTGTCTCAGAAAACATGATCCATAATCCCAGTGACAACAGGGCTGATCCTAAAAACTATGAGCAGAGGTAAATTACAGAATAAATTGCAGATGATTAAAATGGATAAATGTTTAGGGGCAGTTATTTGGATTATGTCTAGTCTAAGAACTGTAAAAGAAGAATAATGAATTATTCTTCACCAATGTGAAAGGGTATTTGATGTTTAGTGTCTCATTTAATCTAGAAAAGTTTGAACACCCCTGGTCCAATTACGTTTTGCCATTTTTTTAAAAAATACGTTAGCACATCATCTACAGAGAATAAACTTCAATATGACATTTTCCCGAAAATTTTAGTGCACAATTTCTATTTGTTTGCTGAACTTGCCATATTGGAAAAAAACACATAATATATCAAATGTGTATTACTGGTGCACAGGCCACATTTTATGTTTCACTGTATTCCCTATATGTTAAGCTGTGTAATTTGATCAGGGCGCCCAAAATTTTACATATGACTGTATATCATATAGCTGAATTAAACTTACAAAAAAGACCAGGTTGAAGACAAACAGGAAATATTTGGTGAGACTGAGGCAGAACTCAGATGCCATATCTGCAAGGAAAAAATTGTTTATATAATTAGTGATACAGTTGTACAATTGTATATTTCACTATCACTATTTCAAATCAAAAATAAAAAACATGGCATTTTCTCCACATGGTGTGACCGACTGCTGGTTTTAAAACAAATCGACAGCCTGTTTTAAAACAACAGGATGAAAGGTTCAGTTAGAGTCAGGCTGATAATACAGCTGTTGCTTTTCTTGAATGTTCATTGTTCATTTACATACTACTGATTTTGTTCATGGCTGATGTAGCACATAGTGACTGCAAAATGCCCCCCACCCCTGTTTAGCCTGAAAAGAAAAAGCAAACAGAGGGAAAAAAGAATAGGCAGCCCCTCACCTGGAGCTATCTCACATTACTATAGCCAGGATAAGGAAACAGAGCCATCAGATCATCTTTCACAGCCATGGTGTTAACTATCTACACACTACGCATCACATGAGTTAGTATTATGGCAGATAAACCTCAAGACAGTATATTACACAGACTATGTTACAGACTCTTAACTGTACACCCATGTTCAAATAGACAGGTTCTGTTTTTTTTTTTGTGTGTGTTTGTTTGTTTTTGGCTAAAAAGTCAGTGCATCACTCATCTGGTAAAACAGCATTCCTTGGCATAAAGCAAATTAATCAAGCTCAAAAAATCAATTTGGCAAAAATTTGACTGATAACACAAAATCCAGCAGTATCATAGGCTCTACAGCTTTTCACAATAAAATGAATGGCTATAACTTACCTTATGTACCAAATTTCCAAATCAAAAGAGTATCACAGTGTCTGAGCGAAATACGACAACCTCATATGAGACCATGTGAAAGAATCTTTGCATGAAATGCTGCATCTTAGAGTAACTTCCTAGCTCCAGAATGCATGCAAAGCATCTGAGCTGTGCTGGTTTCGAAAGCGCTTCACAGTCCATAAATAATACATCATCCCCTACCATTTACAAAGCTAAACTGAATAGAAGGTAGTCAACAGGTTTACATTTAATTGTATTATTTATAGTTAAAAAAGGATTGAAACACAGATCAGCTTCAAAATGAATACAGTGAGGGGAAATGTATTAAGACATATTTGTTTTTGTTATTTAATACACTTCCAGTGCATAAATCCACTTCACATTTACAAACATGTCTTTTGACTTTGTACTTGTAAATTTGAACAAAAAAGTCAGCATTCATAGGCATAAAAATAGATATGTTTAAAAAATGAAATTGCTAGAAAAAAAAATTGTACTTCAAAGGTTACAAGGGTCCTTCTGATGAATGAATTTCAAAATCCGCCATACATTTTCAGTGAGATTCAAGTTAGGAGATCAGCTAAGCCCTTTAACTTCTATAGAAGCCAGTCTTGAGTAGTTTTGGCTGTATGTTTGGGGTTATTGGCTTGTTGAAACATCCATCTTCTCTCCAGATTCGTTTTCCTGGCCCATGAGATTAAATTCTCATCTAATATGTCCTGGTACATCGCTCCATTCATGTTTTCAATGATGTGGGGTTTAGGAACAAATACGATTGCAGTGTAGTTCATTGCTTCTTGTTCTCTGTGTAACTGTTGTTTAGGTTGCCCTGCTAGCTTCTCTTCTCCCTTCCTTATCATTATTTTGAGAATGCATTATGAAATGTTGTGTGGTGCACCTGTCTGTAGATTATTACTCGTGTTCCATGAACTGCCAGTGATGTTTGTGGTCTTTGCAAGGGCTCTGTAGCTTTTTCCATTCAAACCTTTTCTGGAGAATTTTAGGCCAACACCTTGAATGCTTCATTATGGTCCCTAAACCGTTCCTGAACAACGTGTGCAGTGTAGCAGGGTGTGTACTCCTGCTGAAAGAGACCACTGCCATCAGGGGATATCTTTGCCATGAAGTGATGGACCTGGTCTGCAGCGATGTTTGTGTTAGTGGCACATGTCAAATTGACGTCCTCATGAATGCCCAGATCCAGGGTTTCTCAGGAGAACATTGCCCAGAGCATAACACTGCCTCCACCGGCTTGTTTTCTTCCCACTGTGCATTCTGGCGTCCTTACTTCCTCAGCGCACATGTACCCAGCTCGTTTCCAATCAGATGGGACAGCCTTCGTTGCTCTCATGTATTGATGAGCCTTGGGTGCCCAACACCCTGTCACTGTTTGTGGTTTATCCCTTCTTAAACCTCTGTCTGTAGGTACTCACTGCTGATTGGGAGCACCCCACAAACCTTGCTGTTTTGGAGTTGCTCAAACCCATGATGTCCGGCCATAATGATTTGACCCTTGTCAAAGGCACTCAGGTCTTTACACTTGCCCATTTCTCCCACATCCAACACGTCAACTATGAGAACCAACTGCTCTCTTACCGTCTAATATTGTTATGAGATGATATATATATATATATATATATATATATATATATATATATATATATATATGCAGCATCTCTATTTTTTTATCACTTTTATTTGTTTATGCTTATGAATCCATATCTTTTAGATACATTGAAATGCATTAAATAACAACAACAAAATTGTCTGAATACTTAACTTCACAGCTAATCTGTGTTTTTTATCCTTTTAAAAATAATATGCTAAAATGATATAATATGCTAAAATGTTTTTATTCAGATGAGTCCTGAATGAAAATATTGTGATAATTATAGTGGTCATATGTGCCTTATCAGCGTACAGAAAACAGGTCCATATATCAAGGTTTCTAAGTGGGCAATGGCAAATATTAGTTGTATGATGTGGAAAAATATCATTTGTCCACAAACATCAGTATCATTTGCTGTCAAACATCATCTTGTGATGATGCAGGAAAATACTGTTTGTCATCAAACATCAGCATCAGTTCTCATCAAGAATCAGAACCATGTGTCATTGATGTGGACAATGTGGGAAAATATCACTTATCACGTACATCCTGTCCCATGATTACGCATTAGTTATTTATTCTTTTGCTTTATAGTTTTGCTCATCATACAACCATTTTTACCTGTGCATACTGCAACACCATCTTTGTAACTGGAGAACATTGATGTATAACAAATCAATAGGCTTAAATAGCTACCCTTCAGAATCTATTTTCTCTCGTGGACATGATCTTCATTTCCATTTGTGCCTAGGCAAATGATGGCAAAGTGTTCTGAGGACAAGCAGGGGACATTATAAGCTCTAAGTGACTCAGAAATAAGGAGTGTGTGTAAAAGTACACTGATGTTTGAAAAAAGGAGAAATGATGGAATATGAGGGTCAAAGTTAAAAGTTAATTGATAAGAGGCCAAAACGAAGCTCCCATGAGGACAGAGAGTTTAGACGTCACTCTCAGTGCTGGAAAAGGCCCGAATAAGCAGCGTGAGCGGACTCCCATCGGTTCTACTGAAGCTCAGTGTATTATTAGTGGTCAGTAATTAGGTGGAGTGTTTTAGGCCCTCTCTGTTAATGGATTGTAGGGGCGACGGGTACAGTAATTACACCTGGGGCAAGATACAGCCATTAGGTAGAGGAGAGCATCATGGAATGAAATGGATCTGCACAGGGAGAGCGTGAGGGATGTTGACTTATGAGTGTGACAGGATAAAGTGGGTGGGAATGGACTTTTTTTTGTCTGCTTCTACAAATATTTTTGAACCTTGTTTTATATAGAAATTGCAGGATATGAGAATAAGATGGGGATTTATTTTAAATGTATCCGTCCATTTATCCATCCATCCATTCATCTATGAGAATAAGATGGGAATTTATTTTAAATGTCTGTATATTCATTATTCCATCCATCTATACATCCATCTATCTATCTATACATCCATCCATCCATTCATCCATCCATCCATCCATCCATCTATGAGAATTACATAGGGATTTATTTTAAATATATACACCCATCCATCTGTCCATCCATCCATCCATCCATAAAGTTATTACATTAAATTGTTACAAATATGCTGCCTGATCCCTGAAACATTGTCTTACAATAATTTTCATTAAAAAGTACATACTAGGTAGAGAGGTACATGCAAGGCGTTGTACAACAAAATAGTCCAGAAAGAACACACATTTTTAAGGTTTGCCATTATTTACTAGTATTTTGCCATATAAACACTGCATATAAAATCTAAGATGTGTATGTTCACTGGTCATTTTTGAATTAAATAAAATGTCTATGAGTGTGTTGAAGGCATGTCCCCTGGTTCGTATCACCACCACTATAAAGAAATCCAAGTAAGTTTTATCTACAATGAACCATTTCACATCAAACCAACCTGAATAAATTTGTCTCAAAGATTTAATTATGCAGAAATTTTGAAAAATAAATTAAATCACCCTTTAATCAGTATAGAAACATTACATTATGTGGAGGTTCTTTAAACATTAAAAATGTTCTTCATACTGTCACATCTTATTTACAAAAATGGTTTGAATTTAGAAAAGTGGTTCTTCTATGGCAATAGAAGATGTAACTATTTAATTGATCTCATTTTGTGTTCTTCTGTCTGAGCTTTCCTGTTCTCTTCCTCCTCAGAGTGTGTGTGTGTGTGTGTGTGTGTGTGTGTGTGTGTGCGTGTGTGAGAGAGAGAGATTAATTTTGTCACATCACTCCCCTCCACCCTCACTCCCCTGTCTGTGTAATAACACCATCAATTATGATAAATGAAATTCATACTAATAGAGTTTCATTATGTTAATATGGTGCATGTCCCTGGCTGTATAAAAGGCAGTCATCCTCTCCCCCCAGACTCATACATGAAAAACACAAACACATCACACATAGATTTACTCATGCCCTGCAGAGGTTTATTTACCTTCATCGAAATTACATACTGAGATCTATATACTGAGATATTAAGAGGAATAGAAGGTGAGGTACAGACTCACTGATCTCCCATCAAGGATTTTTACTATCATATTTTCACTGACTGGAAGTAAAAAGTCCTCTCTTCAAAGGTAGGCATGTTTTTCATTGCTTTTTTATTTTATTTATTTGTTTATGTATTGTTGTTTTATTTGATTTTATTATTTTGCATTTGGAACATTTGTTGCATGTTCTATGTGATGAATTTCTGAAGTCTTGTGCTTTACTGACTTTGACTTTGAAACTCAATCTCTTCAAGTAGCCTAACTATGATGAATGTATTCCTGCAAAATGGACACATAACAGTTCCTGTTGAATCCTGACAGGTTAATGTTATCCTGGATGTTGGATATTGTACCATTTTTGCATTAACAAGATTACTTAACATAACCTTTTAAACTAAATCATAATGGCAGTTTAAGGTGTTTAGGTAAGTGGATACATACTAACTGCAAAGGCATACTGCTCATTATCAGAGAATTACACCACTTATTATTCATAACTTATACATTTCAGCTTGAAGTCCTATATTTTCTTTTGGCAGATGCAGATGAGCTTTACTCTGCTTTGTGTCTCTCTGGGGGTCCTGTCTGCTCAGCTCTCAAAGACCCATAGCATGGCCCTTACGGTACCTTAAAATCACCTTTTCAAAAGCGTAATCTAACTTTACATATGTAGATCTTATATATATATATATATATATATATATATATATATATATATATATATATATATTTACACACATTTGTATTTCATATTCAGGGTCCAGAGAAAAGAGGATGGACACTGAATAGTGCCGGCTACCTACTGGGACCTTGTAAGTGATCATAGGAGGTGTTGCTGTCATATCAAACATGCGTCTACATCATTTGAGCACAGTAGCTGTCCTTTACATTGTATAAACATTTAATGAAGATTGGACCAATAGAAATACTCCAAAATTACTCTGAATAAAACTCAAAACATTAACTTATATTAAAAGTTAGGAACATTTTGTCTTCTCTTCTAAAGTTA